TGATGGGAAAGATGGAGGCTGGCATGAGAACTGCCTTAGAAAAGGGGTTCAGAAGATGAACAGTCAACATCTGAGAGGATAAATCAGTGACAATGCAGGAGAATTACCCATAAAGATAAATACTGCCATACTCCCGGGAGGGTATCAACAATGGCTGGGTGGGCCTCACAGGGCCCTACAAGGGATTGGCCACCTTGGGGAAGAGGGATGAGATGACCATAGAGTCCTATCAGTGCCAGACAGGAGGCCTGCTCACTGTGCTTATTCTCCAAGTCAGCAGAGTAGCACAATGTCATAAGACTGAACCCAAAACCAAAGCCACAGCAGCACTGAGCCAAACTGGACTAAATACAGCAACAGATGTAATGGCTAGAGCTCTGGCAGACATCTTGGATCAAAAAGACAAGGGATACTCCCTAGAGATGGTGAAAAGTGAGCTAGAATGAGCCCCTGTGCCAGTCAGGTATGCCTCCCACCAGACTTTGTTAGATGAGAAATAAGCTCAAATAGGTACAAATCTTATGTTAGTATAAGCCAGCGTTATGTGGGGTTTTCATGGTATGCTGTCAAACCTAAGGAAATGAAGGTTCATGAAGGAATAAGTCTTGATCTAAGGCTCTACCATGTGAGATTCCACTTGACAGCGTGAAACAGCAGATGGCTCAGAAGCAGAGTGAGCAAAACTCCAAAAGCAGGGACAGACTTTCCTTCAGGTCAGGGATGAAAGGCTGGAAGAGTTCTAGGATGCTGGAATGATCCGAGTGGAAGGGAGCCAGGATAAAAGTAGTATCTTAGCAAGTTGAAGTAACAGCCCTCCCCAAAAAAGCCTGGATAAAAGAAAGCAGTCAGTCCAATGGTACGGAATGCCTGCTATATGCCAGGATCTGTGCTCCCCTGGCCAGGCTGCAGAGGTCAGAGGCCTGAGCCAGCTCTGAATGGTCAACAGGAGACACCATGCATTCCCATGCCAGCCTGCACAGCTCCATCCAAAGAGAGATTCTCAGATCCCACCAGGAAATTCTGACTTTCAGGCTAAGGCAGGGCCCAGGTCTCTACTTTTAATAGGTGCCTCCATGTGATTCTGATACAATTAAAAATGGACTATAGGGTAAAGCAGATCCTTTTCTGGTGCCTGGAACATAGCAGGTTCAGGTGTTTGCTAACAAATACTTCTAACCTGTTATAAGGATAACAAACTGATTTTGAAAACGCTTTCAATAACAGTCAAAACAAGTTTTGGGGGGTATGTGAATGATTTTTAGCTAATATTTAATTAACCAGAATGTAATTAATAATAATGTCATTAATAATGTTTTCTGATCTATCTCAGCAACTATATCAGCTAAAAATGTTTTTGTGTCATTTGAAAATGGCCTGAGAAGAGACCTCTGGGTATAGGTACAAATCTTATGCCAGCTCACCACAGCCCTGCTCTGCATCTTGCAGACATGGTAGAGACCCTGAGACTACCCTCAGGGAGAAGGAGGCCCCCAGGTGTCTCCACATGATTGGGTGGCCAAGGAGCTACCTTCCTCTTCCCAAGGTATTCCAGCACACTTTAAGTCAATTCTCAGAGTAAATTGCTCTCTGGACCTCATTTTACAAAACACAAGTGTTAAAGTATAGCACAAAGAGAAAAACATTGGCTTAGGCCACTGGTCCAGCCTCATCTGGGTCAGTAACTTACCAGGTGGCCTTGGCAAGTTTCTTCACCTTTTGTGCTAGATGCTCTTAAAGATCCCGTCCAGCTCTGACACAGCTTGGTAAGGATTTATACTTTCCTTCTTCCTAATCAATACTGAAAAAAATAATTCTCTTCATATAAAAGTCACTCATATATGTAAAACATAGTGTTAAGTGCTGGGGACATAGCATTTAAGAGATGTCAAAGTCAATATCCATAAAGAGGTATATAGTCTAGCAAGGTACACAGATAATTAATTTAATAATTATACAAATATCACTGCAATAAACATTAGCGAAGTGTAAGGAGCCGTCCATGGGTTGCATGTGGGTCACTGTGCATAGTAGCCTAATGAGGGGATAGGTCTGGCATTGGGAACCTCCCATGGCACCCCCACAGAGATTGATCATCTAATGCAGGTGAAGTTTCCCAGAAGTTCTGTCAAAGATCCCTGAGATGGATGTGACCTGCCAAGATGTCAATCAACCTGCTGACTGCAAGACATCAAGAAGCAAGATCCCGCCCTTGAAACCTTATCCCTGCCTTTGATGTACCCCCTTAAATAAACCACGGGAGCCATCTTTTCTTTGTCTAGTTCCAGAACCCATATAGATTAGATCTATCAGGGGCTTTGCCTTTTGTAAATATATTTCTGAGTATTTGTGTTTTGTGGTTCACTAATTTTTGAGACTTTTAAGTTTTAGAGTGCTTGGATTCTCCTGGGCAGAAAGAATAACCCCACAATCAGATGCTGGCCGTCGACCCCTGATACCAAAGAAAAGTGTTAGAACTGTAAGAGTGTGTAATGGGGGCTCGGGAAATGTTTACCAAGGAAAGAACACTAGAGTTGTGATCTGAGAACCCAATACCAGTGAATGATGGGGAGGGGAATATTCCAGGCAAAATGAAAGGCATATGTGGAGTGGATTCATGTGGATTCATGAGGTAGAAAGAAGCATTCCTAAGCTATGAAGAATTAAAGTCCCAGATAAATTAAAGCAAACCTTGTTAGAACCAGACATATAAAGAAAAGATCACCTTTTATCACAAATGTTAGATTCCAAAAATATGAATTCAAAAATAACGGGCACAACATGATCACGGGACTGATAAACCCTTACCGCCCATTGCCATCTAGCTAAAAGGCCTCCACCCTCACCACTCATGCCTCAACAGGGAGGTAGCAGTTCCTTCAGGTCATCTGCAGCTGCCTCCAGGCCTTGAGTGAGGGTGGTGGCTGGCAGAACTAGGACCCACAAGGACAGGGAGTGAGAGCAGGAAACGCTCCAAGGCAGGAGCCTGGCTCTCAGGATAGACCCATCTGAGGACCAATATTTCTAGTCCCAATATTTCTGCCAGACATCATACACAGAGACAGATGATTAGAGGAAAAGAAGAAAACACACAATTCAGCTGGGGTACCTTGGATAACTCCAAGAAGGGTGTGTATCTGAAGATGGTCAAGATTTGAATGCAGGGGCTAGGGTTGTGGCTCACTGGTAGAGCGCTTGCCTAGCATGTGTGAGGCACTGGGTTTGAGTCTCAGCACCACATATAAGTAAAATAAAGATCCATCAACAACTAAAAAAAAAGATTTGGAATGGAGAAAGCACCCAAAAATGGGAAGACACACGCAGAGGTACAAGGGCTAAAAAGTGCTGTGCGTGCAACAAGAGCCATGGCTGAACTTGGGATGAGGCAGGTAAAGAACTGACTCAGCAGGTGGAAATGACAATGATAGCCTTCAGGGTGGTGTTTATAGACTTGGTCAGATCCCAGATCTGCCCATTCTGGCCCTAGTACAGAATTTTCCTCTGCTCTAGTACAAGGCTTCTCAAATGTTAGTGTCCTAAGAATCATCATGGGACAGGTTGACCTACCACAAGAATACAATTAGGTAATTTGGGATAGGCTCCAAGCCAAAACCCTGCATTAGACATAAGAACCAAAGATACCTCCAGTCACAAGCTCCAGGACCTGGGTTCTTGGCCTTCTCCAGCATGAAATCCTAGCCCAGGTGCCCTCCCTTGGCCATGGTGGGCTAATTTGTCCTGTGCAGGGGACAGACCCTCAATGCAGGAATGAAGAGATATGGAGATTTGGGCTTGGCATGTCCATAGGGTCTAAAGACATTCCTAGGGAAAGTGAAGGCTGAGTAAAGAGTGGCCAAGAGCCCAAGAAAGAAAGGACATTCTGAGCAAAGGTCACAGCTTGTGTAAAGGCACATTCAATACTGTTAAGGTATAAAGTGCATGTAGAAGGAAACCCAGAGAGGCTGGTCAAGTTCACAAGACAGCTGGGACTTGAAACTGGGACTTGACACTTTAGGCAACAAAAAGCCACTGCACACCCCTGAACCCTACAGGAACCTGGTAGCAGCTCCCCATTTAGTCACCAAGCTGGACAGGAACAGTAGTGGGACACTACTCTTGCCTCATTGCCCTTCCCCCACCAACATCAGTCTCCACTCTAAGATCACCTACTTACTACTCCTATCCAAATATTAGACTTTGGAGCCCCTCTGTACAACTATTGGGTCAAAATAAGACAAGCAAGTTGATAAAGGCAACAGAGACAAAAGGCAACAACAATCCCAGAAGGGCAGACCCAGGTGGTGAATTAAGTGGGTGAAGAGGTGGGAGTTGCCACAGAGCAGGTTGGCTCAGCCTGGGGCAAGGCAGATAACTGTGCTCTTCCCAGATCATATCCGTACCTCTTGGAGCTTTCTCTTCCTCAAAAAGAGGAACCCACAATTTCTCTAAATGGGTTTCATGACCCTTGAGCACAGGGAGGACAAGAGAAGATTCACACTGGCTTTCACTAGATATGACTGAAATACCTTAAGCACTACAGAGAAGTGCCAGTTCAAATTGGGATGCTTCCAGAGGCCTCACCAAGACCCTGTTGAGCAGACTGCTCAGATGACTACTGCTGCCTTCAAAAGACCAGTTCCACCCTCAGATGGAACCTATAAAAGAGGTGCAGGTTCTGAAAGCACTATTGAACTGGCAATGCGTGCAAATCAGGGTTTGCTGATTCTCCAGGGGATAGCAATGAAAGCAGGGAGAGGGAAGCCAGACCATCAGTTAAAGCTGCCGCTCCACTTCTGCATAAACTCATTGGGCTCTAGGACACACCCCCAGACAAGCCCTCCAGCAGGATGTGTCAGAGAAAGTTAGACTACCGGTGACGCAAGTGGGCAGTGCCAGGAAGCCCCCAGCTCCGCCCGGTGCCCTGGAGAGCCACCTGGAGTGCTCACTAACCGCAAATGGGCGTGGGCTACCCACCAGGAACCCCTAGCTGTGGTCCCGCTCACCTTGCACTTGAAGCCGGCGGCGGGTGGCAGCAGCTCCCGCAGCAGGGCTTTGGCCACCTCGCGGCTGGCCTCCTCGCTCACGAAATGCAGGTTAAGCACTTCGTGCGCCTCGAACTTGGCAAGACGCAGCAGCGAGCGCAGCGCGACGCGGGCCTTAGCCTGAAGCGCGGCATTGTGCTCCGCCTTGGTGAACATCATCAGCAGGTGGTAGTCCACCGGCCCGACCCCGCCACCCTCCAGGCTCTTGGCCTTTGGGCCCGGGCCCGAGGCCGGGCCCGGCGCCACGGAGCCCCGCGCCACCTCCGGCGCGGGCGACGAGGGCGCGGAGGGGACACCAGCGCGGGACTCCTTCAGCCTCTTGGTGGCGCTGGAGAAGGTCTCGCGGCCCGAGCCTAGGTAATAGAAGGCAAAGACCGCAAGCGCGGCAGCCAGCAGCAACGCGCAGTAGTGAGACCGGACAGCGCCCAGGCGCGCCATGGCCCGAGCGCACGGGGGCCAGCCTCGGAGGAGGCCCATGAGCCACGAGCCAAGGATTCTACAGCCTCCTAACCCCGGCGTCAGGAGGCGGCCATGGCGGGGGCGGGGCCGCGCTACCCAGAGCCAGTGACGGGCGTTGAAGCACGGGAGGCGGGGTCAGGGCGTGCCCAACCGCCACCGGGTCCTAGGTTCCGAGGGATCAAAGCGCGAGGGCCTGCTAGGTCCACCATGCGAAGGGGGGGGGGGGGTGTAGACTGAGGACCCAGGTGTGGAGGAGGCCGGCTAGCTGCACAGTCTGTGAGAACCAGCTCCTCGAACTGGTGACTTGGCAAGAGAGCAGCGAGCGCAGCGCAACACGGGCCTTGTCCTGAAGAGCGGCATTGTGCTTCGCTCGATAGCGAAGGTGAGCCTTGAGAGAATTGAGCCCAACACAGGACCATCGATTAGCATAAAGATACACTGGACGCAAGAGGGAAATATTTTCCCTGTACACATTTTCCCCCTAATATTTTGGAGGTTTTATATCCACTCCCACACCCCTTCACATCTTGGATACTAGCTGTGACTAGGGAATTTAACAAGCTCCTTTCCCTTTCATGCCGAAGGAGTAAAGACACCCGAGGTGGAAATCTCACCCCACTTGGCACCTCTGGGACACACCAGAGGTAATCTACGTGAGTGGCCAGCAGGGGGACCTTGCTGCCTAACACATTGTGGTCGTTCAGAGACCCTGAGATTGTGGTATCAACTCGCTTTGTATTATTAGACTTTTACACTTTGTAAAGAGCCTAGTATGTCCCAGGCAGCTTTGCAAATTCTTAACTGAGGCATACTGACGAAACTGCTCAAGGCACACAGTTGGACACTGCCAACCCAGATAGAAACTCATTACTTAAATATTCTAAGAAATGATGAAATACCAAGAGTTCTGAAGTAAACACGTACAGGTATTTGGAAGAGGTGAAGACAAAGTGCATGGGCAGATGCATACATAAATTGATCTCTGCCACTTTATTACCACGTGCCATTACTTCTGCAAGTGTGAACATCAGACCTCTGAAACAGGTCTGGCAACAAATTCAATACATAATACTCACACAGCAGAATTACCACAGCTGAGTAATCATTTGATCCTCCCAACTCCCTGAGATAGAGGGATTTACTAGCAAGGAAATAGATTTAGAGAAGTACCCAATCTAGTTGAAAAGTAATGCAGGCAAGATCTCATCACAAGTCCTACTGTTTCCAAAGCCCAAGCTTAACTTAAGCCAATTTCCTTGAAAAACAGTAATTCAAGCTCTGGGTTGTGTATATTTTACCAGCAGTGAAGAGAACAAGCTCTGGAGTGGACAATGCAGTCTGGAACTCCACTACACCAAGCTGTCAGACTTTAGGTAAGTTAGTGAATCACTCTGAACCACATTTAAATCCAAATATACAGTGGGGCTAATATCTACACCTTATAGAGTTATGAAAGACAAAGAAAAATCAGAACAGTCCCCAACGCTTAGTATAGAATAAATCATACTAGGGACATAAAACTCATTTTTTAAAAAGTCTCTATCCATCATCTACAATAGCTTGGCTACAATAGCTTTTCTGGGGTATTTATAAATACTAACCCCCAATTCTCTTAATAATTGAGTCTCTAAATTATGGAAGAACTTATTCTGGAATTGTGCCTTTTAGTCCACCACCTACACTATCAATAAGTTTTGGGTATAGGTAGGGAACCAAAGGCACAACTCCATAATTTTATCTACCTCTATCACTTATGCTAGAATTTATACAAGCTTTATTTTTCAGATATTTATAACATCACCACTCCTGGAATTTATAGAAATAACAAGACCACTTAAATTTTACCTGGGAAGTCAAGAGAATACTCAAAGAGCCTATTTTTATTTTCCATGGTGTAGCTCATGAAAGCTCCTTTCCATTTCAGTTCTTTGCCCATAAAGAAAAATCAATGTTGTGACTTCCTAAATTGTGCCTTCCTACATTGCTAACTGGAAACGACAACAACAGGTTCAAGGTAGCCACTCGGTAGGGTATTCAAAAGATTCATGTACCTGCTACCTTACCTATCAGTAGCACGTGAGGATACAGCATTGAAAAGACAAAAATCTCTGCCCTTTTACAGCATATCTTCTAGAGAAAATAGGACAAATAAGAAAAAAATATGTCAATATGTGCCGCTTTCTTAACTTACATACAGGATATATCTGGGTATATCATAACAGGGTCAGTAGACAAAACCCTCCACGTATGTATGTCAAAATACACTCTACTGCCATACATATCTAAAAAGAACAAATAAAGATGAAAAAAAAAAGAAGAAAGAAAAAATCTGGAAAACCCCAAATCCAGTTCTAACTTTGACTTGGGTCAAGCTGATTTCTAACCAGAGATTAGGCAAGTGGCTTTTCCTGTTGTGTAATCTCCACATCCTTAGATCTGAGAAGATTATCCAACCTCTCCTTCCACTTCAGACTTGGTTTACAGGTCACTCTCTACAGGAATGGTCTTGAAATCTCCCCATCCAGTGTCTGAGCTAGGTACCATCCTGAAGGACTCCACAAGGGCTACCTACCTACTATATATTCAATATATATCCTAGTCCAAGTTTTTCTGCTATAATAAGGAAAGATTCCAAGAAAACAAGAGGTATCATCTACTTTTTTATGATCACAATATCTCCAACAACTCAGGACTCTACCTGTTTAATAAGCCTCAAAATATACCCACCCTGACTCACACCTGTAATCCCAGTGACTCATAAGGCCAAGGCAGGAGGTTTGCAAGTTTAAGGCCAGCCTCAGCAACTTAGCAAGACCCAGTCTCAAAATAAAAAATAAAAAGGACTGGAGATGTGGGTCAGTGGTAAAGCACCTCTGGTTCAACCCCCAGTACAAAAAAAAAAAAAGTTATGTGTATATATCCACCCATTTTATACATATATCAACAAATAATCAAATTATATAAAAATATGTATCCACCCCTAAGATATATATGCATAATGTGTGCATATACACACACACACACACACATACATCCACCCATCAAACCAGCATTTTCACTTCAAGGAATTCATCCTAAGGAAATAATTAAGAATGTACTAAAATATTTAGCCACAAGAGTATAGCAAAATTAGAATAAAATGTGATCATCAATGAAATGGCTAAACTAAAACACTGTTATTTAAAATGCTATATTCAACAAACTACATGTGGAAATTTTAAAAAAAAATTGAGCTAGGCACAGTGGTGCATGCCTGTAATCCCAGCAGCTCACAAGGCTGAGGCAGGAGGATCGAAAGGTCAAAGCCAGCCTCAGCAAAAAAGCAAGGCACTACAGTGAGACTCTGTCTCTAAATAAAATACAAAATGGGGCTAAGGATGTGGCTCAGTGGCCTAGTACCCCTGAGTTCAATCCCTGGTACCCCCCCCAAAAAAAAAATTGAGAGAAGCCCTACAGATTTAAAGACTCAAGATATATTAGCCAACTGTGAAGTATAGAACTTATGTGTGTTCTATCATCTGCCCTGTTGAAATCAAAAGTTACTAGCCACATTGGGAGATACTCAGCTCTTAAAACATGATACTATGACTGAGAAACTTAACACTGTCTAATTTTAAATAATTAAAATAGCCACATGTGGCTAGTGGGTTCCATTTTGGACAGCACAGGTAGACGATAGAATTATGGATGATCATCTTCATTACTTGATATTTAAATACTTTTCTACAAATAAAATTGTTTTCTCAAAAAATAGGCTGTTTTGCTTTTGTTTAAAACATTCACTATCAGTATGTGTTTTCTTCACAGGATTCTTCTGAAAATAAAGCTGAATAAAGCAAGATACATGTAAAATTGCATGTGTCTATTTTCAATTAATTTTTAAAAGGAAAGGCAAAAGCAGGCAATTCACTTCATTCTGTTTACAGCTTTCCTTGAATCCTAATTCATACAGAAACATGTTGTTTGTTTATTTGCTAAAAGGATGGAGTGAGAATGCATTGCCTAAATTAGGAAAGAAAATCCTTCTGTGGTTTCTAGCCAACAAATTAGGAAGCATAACAGCTCTGTGATCAGAAAGAATACTTTAAAATGGATTTCTTCACTGAAATAATTGGCAAATAGCATGGATCAAGTTGAAAGGGTTAAAAAGCATACAGTACCCTAAATATAACAGATATGTTTAGAGTGTAGTTCTCAAGAAAGCATTAAAAAACTATGCCAGAGGTGAGATTTTTATTGACTTTATTGTAATTTTTCAGCATACAAAGTACTTAATCAAGTATATTTACAATTCTTACATAATGTACATTTTAGAATAACTATAAAGAAAATGTACTTTGCTCCATTTACAATAACAAACTACAGCAAAACTACATTCATGAATTAGATACAAATCCTCTACATAGTAATAAACAGTAAATGGGAGTGTTGGTTATACATTCTTTAAAATAAACCTTTTCACAGGTAACAAGAAATATTACATGTAATAAGTTTTTATGGCTGGAATGATCCAAGAATGTCACAAAGCACAAGTAAACACTTGTAGAAAAGTAGCTCATCATTTCCAAAAATTAACCTTTAGCCTTTGTGTAACATGGTGCCAACAATCTTTATAATGTAGCAAGCTTTCCCTGTTTAACACACAAAATAGGGACAGGGGATTTGAGGAAAACATAGAAAATGAGACAGTGAAAACAACCACGCAGAGAAAATGGTATGTAATCAAATACTGCCTTGTCCTCACATTCCATTTTAAGTGGATGAATTTACATAAACAGAAAAACCAGCTTTATATGTGTCAGTATTTAAACTGAAACCAAGCCTCTTTTAGTTACCTTTCATTTTAAAGCATCAAGGAATTCATAAGCGGTGAATTAAAATTAACTTTTATTAATGTTTTGCCTTCATTAATGTTTTTATTACAAAAACGTGGACTGTCCTGCAATCTGATATCTTCAAACCCCAATCTATTCCTTCAAACTTTGTATCAAGGTTCTCCAGAATTATTTGAAGCATTTGTTATCAAACAGGAAAGCTGGCAGTCATTATCAGATTTTGCTGCTTTACAGCGATTTCAAATAATTTCATGATACAAATAAAGCACCTCTGACTTGTAATTAGTCAGATGTGGGTTATGATGTCAGCTCTGCCACCAACTAGCAAACCAAGTGACCACTCTGTAAAACAAGAGGCGCAAACTAGGATTAAAAAGCAGACAATGCTGAAGCTCTTAAGATTTCAGAAGTCCCTACTGTGAAAATCAGGTGAAATAAAGAAATGTCCAAGTAACATTAAAAATAGTAAAACACACTCAAAGAGATGTTTTTATATTTTCACCTTACTTTACCCATTCATTTTATTTTTTGAGGAGCCCTGAATCCAAAAAGGATAGTGACTACTAGTCCAGTGCTCTTTTCACCATATCATGCAGCTCTGAAGTCATTCTAGACATTCGAGTCTATAAAAAAATATCATTTTCCAGCTCTTGTCCATGATCAAAAGTGCCATCAAACAAAGGAGTTAATTTGACAATATAGAGTGATTTGGGAATGTCTGATTATTCAAAATTGGTAGTAAATTTAGTCTTAAACACAATTTGGTTCATTGTAACCACACTTAACACATGTAAAATTAAATTTTTAAAATTTATTTAAAATTTCTGATAATGCTAACATTATCAGAAACTGTGAAGGTCTAATTTTTTATACCAAAATGCATTTGTAAAAAATTAAATTGAACATAATAAATTAAGTCTGTTTGGAAATGTAAACACCAAAGTTCATTAAAATCTACAGTGAAGACCAGTAATAATTAGACACAGTGTAATACAACAAATTCTAAGAAATTTCTGAATTTCTAAGGAGTGTATAAAAAAATAGTTTTGAAAACTTTAGAAGTCTGACACATGTAAAATGAAGCTTTGCAAATAACTGCTCAATTACCTTTAGTCTAGCTCTAAAATTAAATTGTACTTTATAAACTCTGCACAATTGGTGCTATTCTTAATTTGATATTAATCCATTTTTAAGTTAATGAGCTAATGATAATAAGCTAACAATAATTATAAAGAATCAGAAACTAATACCAGCAGATAAGAAGCCCAAGAGTATTAACATTTTTTATACTATAATTTCTCATAATACACTGAATAGTTCATAGCATAACAAAATTCAGATTTGTTATATACTATATAAAATCTAATGGTAGACACAGCAAATAATACCTAAGAGTCAACCTACCTTGAAACTATTAATTTAATTTAAAGCCTTGCTGTTTACTCCATTATTATGCCAAATTTAGTACAGAGGGAGTCTCAGCGCCCTCAAAAAAACTAAGCCGCAGAAATGTATTTTAGTATTGCCAGTCTCCCTGCAATATCAAAGATTTAGCTTTCTCTGAAGATATTCAAAACCATGAACATCTTCAGTACACTTCAAATGCATCTCTAACCATTAAATATAAGTAGAAACTAATTACTGCCACAATAACAACTCATGACTCCAGGTAAAGGAGGTAATGGGTCACAAGGAATTGCCCTCACAGCCACAGAGGTTCCAGGGGTGATCTCAAGCACCAGTGGCTGCAGACAAAGGGAACCAGCAGACAGTGTCCTCAGCCAAAGGTCAGGAGCTTTAGGAATGACGTCTAGAATTCAAAGAGCAGACTCGGCAAAGGAAAAGTGAGGCTTTCTTTTCTCTTCTCCATCTTCCTTTCTGTTTAACACATCTCTTCCTTGAGCTTTTAAGACAATTAATTTCAAAGGTTGCTCTAATAAAATGCTACAAATAAGACTTGCCTTTAGATAAAGTACTTGTAAAACCAGATGATATGGAACTCTGAGGTTAAATGAAAGATTTAATGTTTCTGCTATGTTGTAATTAAAACACAATGATTTGGAAATTAGCATTTCCTCAGGAGTAACTCAAAAATATATTTCAATCCTTATTTAGTATATAGTGGCAATTACTAATGAGCATTACATATTTGCAATTTGGCAAAATTATGAAATCTCTTTCTGTGATGTGAATTTTTTCAATATAATTCCTGCCTAGATACATTCTGATGTGATGTTTAATCAATTTATAAGACTCTTATGAATGGAAAATGTAAAAAAAAAAATCTATATAATTAAATATAATTTCTCTCTTATAAGTTTAAAACCCTTTTATTTAGAAACTGAGTTTCAATAATAATACTAATGTATAATTTCTCAAAAATTAGGCTTAATTGTTGACAATGTTGGTAAGGAAACATAAGGTAAATTATTCTATACTGTTAATAAGACATGTTAATCAAAGATGGAATCAAACAAATTTGTAGCATATGAATGGTAAGCTAGTATATTCACAACATTTTGGCATTCAAGGGCCTATGATTGACGTTGACCAAACTCTCATGATATAATTTAAAAGAATGTATACTGTTTACAGTACACAGGATAGATGTAGGGAAAAAAATTAAAAATTCACTACTATATATTTTAATATAAATTGAGGAAAAATGGCCTTTTTTTCTCCTTTATACAAAGAAATTTTTCTTTCACCAGAAACAACAGCAAAAATGTATCTTAAAAGGACAAATTTCAGCCAGACTCAGGGGCACACACCTATAATCCCAGCAACTCCAGAGGCTGAGGAAAGAGGATCACAAGCTCAAAGTCAGCCTCAGCAAAAAAAGAGGCACTAAATGACTCAGTGAGATCCTGTCTCTAAGTAAAATACAAAATAGGGCTAGGGATGTGGCTCAGTGGCCAAGTGCCTCTGGGTTCAATCCTTGATACCCAAAAGAAAAAAAAAAGTGGGGGACAAATTTCAACTATAAAAAAAGCCCTACATCATTTTATAAATTGACTTTTCCTTTTAAAGTTATCTTTTGATGAAAGCATAATTTTGCAACAATCAAGTAACCTTTGAAACAGTTTTATTACATTGATAAATTTGTCAAGGTCTTAAGACATCACCCAACAATGAAGAGCTGTAACTTTTCAGCAGGAGGGAGAGTTGAAAAAAATAGTAAGAGCTTCTTTGCCTCAGACGATGGAATAAATCTAAATGACTAAACTATGGTCTACTTGTACAGGCATTACGGATGTTAAAATACTGGACAATAACCCATCACCTAAGAACCACAGTGGCATTTAAGAAGCCTATACTCTAGTTCTGGTAACTAAACCATATGATGTATGAATGGTAACTAGGCTACCAAACCCACCCACTCACCCACACTCATACCTAATTCTGAACCACCAAAAATCATCAGGGAATCTAAAGACAAGGCATATTCTTGAGGCAGGCAGGATAATTGGCTCCACTTGATGCAGACATGCTTGACTGAATAATCCTGGGCATGATGCATGGGGAAAAAAACATATATATGTATGTATGTATGTATGTATCTATCTCAATGCTACCACCAATTGACCAACAAAAAAAAAAAAAAAGATTTTTTTCCCTAACATCTTAGCATCTTGTAACCTGGAGATGACCTAAACCTAAATTAAACTTTTATCTATAAAAAAATAGCCCTTTCACCAGGCTTTTTTTCTTAATAAAGGAGGTCCTAAAGTAGATTCTTCTCCCAACTATGAGAGATCTATGTTTTAATTTGTAAAAATATGAATGAATGGTAATTTTTTTCCAAACCATTCAATATCTACCAAAATTAGGAAGAATTAAAGCAGTAAAAAGTTGTGAGTTTTTAGCTGTACATATTAGAAAGTTGCCAGATTTTGTATTTTTCTCCTTATTAAAAAAATTCAGAATTTCTGTGAATCTTGCTGGAAACGATTGAGTTTCTCTGGATTATTGGATGCCATTTGTGAAAAATCACGAAAAATGTCCTGGTAAGTTTCATCACCTGCATGAAAGTAAAATAAGAACACTTTTAAAATTTGCACAAGTATTAATAAGACAATATTCATTTTTATGACTAATAACTATAATTCATTAAAAAATTGTTCAGGTGAGCATTTTGGGGAGAAGAAAAAAGGCCAACTAAAATAATGCCAGGAAAGTATATAATGAAAGGAAAAAAACTATACCTGAAACAAGCACCTCAGATGCAGCCAGAGGAAAGCTCAAAGTTAGAAAAGAGCATAGATGCAAGTGTTTTAAAGCAATGTAAAGAAACACATTTATTAACACATGAGAAATAAAGATCATTCTAATGAAGAAATAAATATTTCCTTTGGTAAAGGCCAAAAGAAATGATCAAAACCAAATATTAATGTTTCTGATGGATGCAAGTTATTAACAAGACAAACTGATAATCAGGTGGGGGGGGAATTATTATCTTTTAATTAGAATAAATTTAAAGTAAATTTACATGTAATTCTTCACTCAAACTTCAATGCTTAACTTAATACATCTAATCCACTACTTACTAAGCTTATAATAGGCCTAGAAAAGAACTATATAATCATAGTTTCACATTGTCTGAAGTTTTTTGTTCACTGTGGGTCATATAAGCAAGAATGCTATGACAAAAATGAGAATGAATACTAAAGACATCTGTTAAATTAAAGAAATAAGTGTATGAGTATTCAAATATTCTTGTAGAAATAGAAATTATAAATACTGACATTACAGAACTATAGACACATACAAATTAATCCCTCAGATGAAGGATGTTTTCAAGATAAAACATTCATCAAGAATGCTTCTTGCAAAACATTAGCCTTAGACAGATACATGGCATAATTGTTCTCAGGATTTTGAGCATAAAATATTGTTTTAGATGATTAGTTCTGCAACAGGATTTTGTAATCATTCCCATAAGATAACTTGCATCCATCTTATAACAAACACATTGCTACAGTTATTAATAGTGCTATTAATTTTTGTCAATTTTAAAATGCGAGATTGGTGAAGCAATAGATGTCACACCAAAAGCTAGAGAATTAGAAAAATGTTGGGGAAAGAGGATAAAGAGCTAGTAAAAAGACCTAATGACATAACCCAGAATTTTCAATAAAAAAATTTAATACTTTTAATATTTAGTTCCTTTCAATATTTAGTCTGTGTAAAAAGAAATTTAATAAAATCTATATATAGTTTTTATTTAACCCTGGAAATTTAATCATAATTTGAAACAATCAGTTAAACCTAATCAATCTACTTTAAAAAGAAAATGGGTGAGGAGACAAGATAATTGTAATGGGTTGGCTGAGAGTAACATGGAACCCATGTTATTGTTAATAAAAACTAAAGGTTGATATATTGGAACTGGTAAAACAATCCAATTATACACTTGATTACTTAAAAATTTACTTCCACATTAAAAGACAAACTACAATCTATTCCCATTCTTAACCATTCTAAAAGATATAAACTGAGAAGAGAGCAACTTTAAATAGCAATTAACAAATCATACAAAATATTTCAAAATTTTTCCTATTTTTAGATGTTGAATTAAAATATGTAAAATATTTATTGTAAACATTATAAATATTTTTAAAATACTATTTAAATTAGATAGTCTAGAATTTTACTTTCCAAGAAAGTGTAAAGTGCAGATTATAATACAAAAATACCACACTGATTTTACCATTCAACACCAGAAGTAACTTAAAAGGCACACATTATACATTCAAGAAATAGGAAGAAGACCTAGCAGATGCTAATGCCAAATAGTTTACAAATAGCACCAGATGAGCAATCTTAAGTATTACAACAGTACAATGGCAATATATGGCTTCTACAATTAGCAATGCATATTTTGTATAACAAGCTGTAAGTTTTTTTTTTTTACAGTTTTCTAGTTTTGATTTTAAATCATCTAGTACCTATTACACAAGTACATTTTAGTAGAACCATTGTACCATGCAAAACAAATTATAAGACCTTTCATTCACTGAATTAAATGATTCCTTGAAGAAAAATGTTGGTGCTATATTATTAATCATTGGTTTCACTGACTGAATACGTTTAAAAGAGTTAATACAATACAAAAGAAGGTTCCATTTTCACACAAAAAAAATTTGCTAACATTTAGTTTCTAACAAAACATTAATTAATGCACTGTTAATATACTATCTTTCTTAGACCTCAAAATGTGTTGTCAAAAGCAAATGTTACAAGAACAAGTGACTAAGATATTTAATATAGCTAACACAAATTGAACTTCAGTGTGATTATTCAAAGTTTAAACATAATTTTAAGTACTTGGAATTTTTCCCAAGGCAAATATAATTTGTATACACTAGAACATATAAACAAAACTCAGAATATCCTGCCCTGGAATGTTCCCAGAAGTATGTTTGATAATTTATTACAAATGATGAGCAACCGATCACCCAATATTTGTAATGCTAAGCTAAGAATATTCTTTAAATTACTTACCCACATTTTTTTTTCCTTTCAGACAATTAGCTTTTCTATGTCTGGACCGGCAGGTCTGAGTTTTTCTAATGTAGACTCATGTGTTTCCACTGATAGTTTAAATCCATTTTTAATTTTTGGTATTCAAAATATCCATCACAACAGCAGTTATGATGATTCAAGACACCAGGACTTTCTCATAATATGAACTCCCTCAAAAGGACAGCAGCATGTGGAGACCCACCCCCATGATCCTGTCTTTTCTGGGCTAGCAACAGTTTCTTTCTGCAACTGATTTGATCAGTGGTTCCCAAACTCTGCTGGCTAGTACTCTTATAACCAACAGTTGTTCCCTAAAGCAGTTACTCTCAACTGGCTAAGAACTTGCCAACAATCAAGAGGAGTCACAGGGCCAGAAACTGGGAACCACCAAACTGATTTCCAACAACAGAAAGCTGGGTATGCCATATCCCTCACCTCCTCAGGCCTCCTAAGAGTTCTGGAGACTGCTAAAGAACAAATTCTCCCTTCAGTAACAGAGCGCTTTTAACAGTGCCCTGCAAAAGTAGGGAGTCCCAGGTCCTCAGGCTTGTAAATAAAAAGTTCACAAATGGGATTTCCTAGAAATAGGTCCATGATTGCCAAACATTGTATCTGAGTCTTTTAAATGGCAGAAATCTTCATTATCAAAACTGAAAATTCCTGTACCTGTAGTTTATATTACTAAGACAATCCAAAAAAAAAAGAAAAAAGAATCCAAATAAAGCAATCAACCAGTCTCTTTAGAAAAAAAAAAAAAATTATAGTGATAAGAACAAGAAAACCAAAGAGCTGATGCTAGAGCCAAATATCTCTCTCTACAACTAATAATGGAAAAGAAAAGTTACCAGAGAGCAACTGCTGTGCCATTTCACTGTCACCTGTATAAGCATAATTTTTTTTCTGCTTTAAATAATAGGCCTTGCAAATGTGTTAAAAAATCTCAGTATTGTCGAGATGATCCTCAATCCAAAAAAAGTCTCATTTTATTCTGATTCACACTATTTCCAGAATAAAAGTTATAACTTTTATACTATTCACACTATTTCCAGAATCATGACCTATTTTTTAACTTCTAAAATTTGGGAATAATAGAAAAGCTTGTTTTAAAATCAGCCTTTTTTTTCAAATTTTCATTAAAATAAATTGGAAAAAATAATTTTTTTACTGATGAAGGGAAGTTAACATACTTATATATAAATTTATACATAAGGGACAGTGAAAGAGATACTAGAATGCTCCCAAATGATGGAAATAGCCACCCAAGCTATTTGGGTAGAACTAGAAATAGTAGCAAGAACTTGAAGGTTCTGTCTTTTCAAGCTTACAACTCCAGAGAAGAGTCATCCACTGACCTTCTGACTAATCAATTGGGAAAACTTCATCAGCAAACACCTTAAGGAAAGAGCAACTGACCAAACATTAAAGTTTAAAATTTCAGGAAAAAAAAATTGTTTAACTTAAAATCTTGAAGTTCACTGTTATCTCACAAATATCAGATCATATCCTTTGATTAATTTTTATTTTAAAGTGCTTAAACACAAAGGCCTCAAAAATGGCCTATTAATACTATCACTTAAGTATATCTGTTACAAAATTATAACTTATTTAAAGTCCAACATTCAAGTTTAAAACAAATGGGTGAAATCCAGAATTAACACTAGAGCTTCACCCAAATCAGCATTCTTACATCCTGGAATATCATGAGCAAATAGTACATATGATCCATAGGATTAGAATTGGACGCCCTAGATTACAAGTATCTAGCTGAAATGCCTCTATTCTCAAAGTCCTTACTTATTCCCCATTAAATCAGGCCAAAAATAAGCAATAAACAGACAGTCCTCTGAGAAAAGAATGGCCCACTGATACATTATATATGGATCTAGTTAAAATAAAGCAAATGGATGAAGCTAGTACAGAAATCTTAAAACACTTCTTCAACAGAAAGAGGAAATGATATTACCAGGTCACTTTAAAAATGAAGTTAACCAATATTCATATTTTTAAAAATCAAAAATATACTAATTATAAACTGAACATTCTAAAGTATTTTAGTCATAAATTCATGAATTTTTTACTAATATGTATATGAATTTGAAACTAAAGATTCAATAAATATTCTTTTCTTTGTGAAGAACGTCTAATCAGCACGTGTTCATAAAAGAGGAATATGATCAGCAACGCCCTCCTTTCCATGACATCTCAACTTTGCTGAAAATTACTCAGAACAAAGTTTTAGGTGATCATGAGTTGAAATTTCTCTAATGTCTACTTTGTCATTGGGTTTACAAAATGCTGTTCTAAAAACTTCCACTTATCCAACAGATATTTTACAATTACTTGGGGCAAAGCTAAAGATATAAATGAGACCTTATTTTTCAACATTTTAAATAACTCCACTCCCATTATAGACTTTTAACCTACTGGTACATTGTTACTTTAAATCTTCAACTCATCTTTATATTGGAATAGAAAACTTTTTGATAAACCTTTCCTTGTTATTTTCCATACTGATATTTTGTATGCAGACGTATGGTGATTTGTTGTCTTTCTTTTTTTTTCCCTGAACACAATGTATAGAAATTCCCTGAATAACAAAAAGAAAGCAACTTTGTTATATTCACTAAAAAAAAAAAAAAATTCCAAAAAGAAATCAACTAATTTGCTGCTGTAAGTATATAGAAAGTATTTTCATCATTCCATTCAGGTCACTGGAATGTATGTGGAAGACATCTGTACAGCAGATGAGGAAGTCAGCAGCCAAAGTGAAACACAGCAAATGTGCACTGTAATAGAGATAGCTGTGGATTCGCAAGGGGCTAGGATCAGCCTCCCAAGAATTCAGAAGGTACAGATATAGCTAACAACTCAAAATTTACAAGTAGGTTATAAAAATTCTATAGTATCACATTAAAGAACTATGAACTATGAATCTTCCAATTGTAAACTGATAAATTCCTGAATGCATTTCTTATACTGCATTTCAGTATGGTTATTAGTGGAATATTGACCTGGCTGTCCATAAAGTCCTTCTGATTCCCGCATTTCTTCGTTCATTCTTGCTAAACGTAACCTGAAATTAAATAAAATAATCTTTTAGATGAAGGTATGTGTGAATCATATAAGCAGGTAATATGTGTGCTGATGTAATTTTTTCCCCTTTACCAATATTTGCCAGTAAGACAAATTGGCTTTTTAGTTTATAAGACCCAGTTATCTCAGATACAATATCTCCAGACTTCAGAGAATTCCTGGCTTCTCCAACAAACTATCAAATTATAACTGCCAACTGTTGAAATTATTCTTCTAGAGTATGTAAGCAATGTTTACTCTGAAGTGAGGTAGTTTACAATGTATAAATAGCACATTACCTCTAAATACTGGGAACATATTTTTTGACATCCAAAAACTGTAATAAATGACTATAGGCTATGAAAATTCTTCCAAGATTACCATATTGGCTTTACATTCTTTGGGGGTTATTCTTCCTGACAGAAGACATATAGCATTGGATGAAGAGGACAAGTATCCCCCCGCCCCGGGCTTTTTTTAAACTAACTTTAAACAACATTTTAAAATAGTAAAATTTTCTCTTGGGTACCTTTCTTTTCCTTTGTATTCCTCGCCTGGCCTTCTGGGCCACCATCTACTGCTTTCCCAGATCTCTATCACTCTAGGAACTACAGCATCTGACGTGTGCTTTGCCTGTCGTCAAAGTTCCACAATTCCCTTCCTTTCCTCTCTCAACCACTGCAGGAATTAATGATAGCTTCATAAATCTTCCTTTAATATGTAGATTTTTAGAGAGGGAAGAGTATTTTGTTATGTTTTGTTTTGTTTGTGGTGCTGGGGACCGAACTCAGGACTGGCCTTGTGCATGCTAGGCAAGCACTCTACCAACTGAGCTATATTCCCAACCCCTGGGAACTTTTTTTTATAGGAATTTTTTTTTATAGGAATTGCCTGGGAAGCTACATCCAGAGTTTCCCCATGCTGTTTCAATCTTTTCTTTTTAGTAACTATTTTTTTTCCTACTCTAAATCTAGAATGGCATCATAATAGGTCTACATTTCCCTACAGTAGTTTCTACAATAGCAATAACTCCTCCAGTGGGAAAAGTGTGCTCTGCTGTTTTGTTTTCTAATTTGGCAATTGTTAGGGAGAGTGACACAAGGCAAGCCAGGAATCCTCATTGGGAGCTTGGGAGCTCAGGAGCTCAAGGCAGTCATGGGAGTCAGTAGTGTGAAAGGGCTTCTACTCTAATGAGAGGGGAAACACCAATTTAGAGCTTCATGTAGTCCAGAGTAGAGTGAGTAAGTGACTTAATATAAAATATACTTCTGCTATCCATATAGCAATGAAGAATAGGTGACAATCACATTTCCAGATTCCAAGTATAACAAACTATTTTGAACTAATATATAAATCAAATTAAAACCTCAAAATTCTTTTTTTAAGTATTTATTTTTTAGTTATAGGTGGATGCAATGTCTTTATTTTTATGTGGTGCTGAGGATCAAACCCAGTGCCTCACGCATGTTAGGCGAGCGCTCTACCTCTGAGCCACAACCTCAGCCCTAAAACCTCAAAATTCTTTAATAGATCACATTAAATTTTATTCAAATCCTCAAAAACATGTATTTTTATCTTAAAAATCAATCAAGTGTTTATGTAAATAATTTTTGGAGGAGGAGAGAAAAGGGACACTGGGAATTGAATCTAGGTATACTTTACCACTGAGCTACATCCCCAGCCCTTTTTGTTTTTTATTTTAAGATGGGCCCTTATTAAATTGCTTAGGGCCTTGCTAAGTGCCAAGGCTGGCCTTGAACTTGTGATTCTCCTGCCCCAGCTTCTCAAATTGTTGGGATTACAAGTCTGTACCACCATGCCCAGCTCATGTAAATAATTGTGTGTTTTTTTTAATTTGTTCTAATTAGTTATACATGACAACAGAATGCATTTCGGTTCATTGTACACAAATGGAGCACAGCTTTTCATTTCTCTGGTAGTATACGACTTAGAGTTGTGCAGTCATACATGTACCTAGGGTAGTGATGTACATCTCATTCCACCATCTCTCCTATCCCCATGGCCCCTCTGCCCCTTCCCTCTACTTTGCCCAATTAAAGTTCCCCCATTCTTCCCATGCCCATCTCCCTCCATTATGGATCAGCATCCACTTATCAGGGAGAACATTTGGCCTTTGGGTTTTGGGGACTGGCTTACTTCGCTTAGCATGATGTTCTCCAACTCCATCCATTTTCCTGCAAATGCTATAATTTCATTCTTTTTTAATGCAGAGTAATATTCCATTGTGTATATATACACTACAGTTTCTTTATCCATTCATCTATTCAAGGGCATCTAGGTTGCTTCCACAGTTTAACTATTGTGAATTGAGCTGCTATGAACATTGATATGGCTGTATCACTGTAGTATGCTGATTTTAAGTCCTTTGGGTATGGACCAAGGAGTATGAAAGCTGGATCAAATGGTGGTTCCATTCCAGATTTTTTTAAGGAATCTCCATACTGCTTTCCAGAGTGGTTGCACCAATTTGTAGTCCCTTTTTCCCCACATCCTTGTCAACACTTATTGTTGCTTGTATTCTTGATAATCGCCATTCTGAGTGGAGTGAAATGAAATCTTAAGAGTACTTTTGATTCACATTTCTCTAATTACTAATGAAGCTGAACATTTCTTCATAAATTTGTTGATCAATTGTATATTTTCTTCTGTGAAGTGTGTGTTCATTTCCTTAGTCCATTTATTAACTGGGTTATTTATTCTTTTGGTGTTGAGTTTTTTGAGTTCTTTATGTTTCTTGGAAATTAGTGCTCTATCTGGTATACGTGTAGTAAAGATGTTCTCCCAGTGTGTGGGCTTGCTCTTAACATTGTTGATTGTTTCCTTTGCTGAGAAGAAGCTTTTTTACTTTGAATCCATCCCATTTATTAATTCTTGATTTTATTTCTTGCTGTTTAGGAGTCTTGTTAAGGAAGTCAGGACCTAATCCGACATGATGTAGATATGGACCTACTTTTTCTTTATTAGGCACAGGATCTCTGTCTTATTCCTAGGTCCTTGATCCACTTTTGAGTTTTGTGCAAGGTGAGAGACAGAGGTTTAATTTCAAATTGCTGCATATGGATTTCCAGATTTCCCAGCACCATTTGTAGAAGCTATCTTTTTGCCAATGTATATTTTTGGCACCTCCCCATATTTCTAAATACTACCACCCAAAGGCAATGCAACCTCACAAGTTACTAACATCAATGGAGCTGCCCTCCCTACTTATAATCTTCGAATTCTCAAGGTAGGAGAATCATTACCTATTATATTACCAATCCCAACTCCAGCCTAGTACTATACTGAGAGTTAAAGAAAACATTTCAAAGAAGTCACTGGTTTGGTTTCTACTGATCAGGCAATGTAGCAAAAGTGGCTAAGAGTCAAAATTCTTGGTTTCAAGTGAATTCAGAAATCACTCACTGATTTCTCAAATTATCTGTAACTTGGCATCCTTATCTATGAGGATAATAAGAAAATCTTTGCTATAACTACTCTTCTGACAAGGGTTAATATCTAGACTATATAAAGAACTCAAAAAAACTAAACACCAAAAAACAAAAAACCCAAATAATAAATAGGCAGTAAATTAAACAGACACTTCTAAAAAGAAGAAACACAAATGGCCAACAAATATATGAAAAAATGTTTAACATCATTAGCAATTTGGAAAATGCAAATCAAAACTACACTGAGATTTCATCTCACACCAGGCAGAATGGCAGTCATCAAGAATACAAAGAATAACAAATGCTGGAGAGGATATGGAGGAAAAAAAAAATAGCAATTTTACACTGTTGGTGGAACTGTAAATTAGTTCAACTACTATGGAAATCAGTACGGAGGTTCCTTACAAGACCAGGCATGAAACTACCATATGACCCAGCTATACCACTCCTTGGTATTTATCCTAAGGAATTAAAAGTCAGCACGCTATGATGATATGTGAAGACCCCTGTTTATACCAGCACAATTTCAATAGCCAAACTATGGAACTAGCCTAGATATTCATCAGTATATTAATGGATCAAGATAATGTAGTATATATAAATAATGGAGTTTAATTCAGTCATAAAGAAAAATGATGTCGTTTGCAGAAAAATGAACCATTGAGACCATTGTGTTAAACGAACAAACTCAGAACATCATGAGTCTCATGCTTTCTCATATGTGGAATCTAGAGAGGAAAAAGGAAAAGGGGGCAGGGATCTCATAAAAATCAAAGGGAGATCAGAAGTATAAAGGAAAGGGACCAGGGAGTGGGATGAAAGGAGGGAGAGGGAAAGAGGAAGGGAGTGATATTGGCCAAATTATATTGTTATATTGTATGCATGTATAAATATGAAACAACAAATCCCACCATTATGTACAATAAAATTTATAAATATATTGGTATAATGTACCAATAAAATATGTGGAAAAAATAAAGATAATGAAAGTAATATTTCTGCGATATACCTCAATGGAAAAGTGCCTGCCTAGCATGTGAAAGGACATGGATTTGACCCCCACTACTAGGGGTTGTTGTGAGAACCAAAACAGTTTGTGCATTTGACGTGCTGAGAGAGGTACATGGTACAGAACAAATACCAACCACAATTAAAATTCAGAAAAGCATGAATCTCAGTGTTAACACCCTGTATAAGTAACATACTGCATGGGAAATAATCAAGTAGAAAAGAAATACTTACAAAGTTACTATATCAGCATTGGCCGCATCCACAGCTATGCTCAAAGGGTCTTTCCCTTCTTCATCAGTGGCATGCTGATTGGCACCTCGCTTTAGGAATAAACATACCTGCCTGTTTAAGGAAACAGTGTTTTTGAAATATTGCCAAGAAGAATAAAAATAATATTAATCTTAAAAAATAAAAAGCTTAAAAAAGAAACATTTCATTATAAAATTCTTGATTCATTCTACAAATATGTAATGAACACTGATTTTCATAATAAAAATTGACCAAGATCAATGTACATTTTGAAATATTTTCATTTATATAATCTTACACAATCTGGTGCACAGTGGGATATATCAATTATGGCCCATATCTTTAAAGAATATCATTTAAAAAGTATACAGATTTTGAGAAACTTCAAGAAAGGTCAAAGCCATTATTTGGGAATAAAGGAAGGTCAAGGCTGATAAAATAAGACCTTGCTGACTTTCAAATTAAAGTTTAACATTAATTTTAACTACTTAAAGCATTTAATTATCTAGTGAAGACTGGAATAGATGAGATGGTGAATTTAATATTTTTCATCCTTTTTTAAAATGTATGCAACAGTCAATATGCCTGCCTTATTGATAAAACGTACCCCAAAAGACTAAGAACCATCTAATGGCCCAGAAAAATAACCCAAAATCAGTCACCTCATGGATATGTTTTTATGTTATGTATCAATTTTAGCAAGTTTTCAAACTGATAATCTCATGCTGTGTCTGGAAAACAAGCACATTCATTCGTGTTGTAGTTTTGATGATAGCAAACTAAAGTGATCTTTTTCCCATGGTCATGTCTGTATCTTTGGGTGTTATTTAAGCAGAAACAACATAAGAAGAAAATCAAAATGACATTTTATCCAGCTGCTGGGTAACTTAAAATGTGAACCCCAACAATGTCAAGCACATTGGTCTGTGGTATAGAACCTTTTTTATCTGATCTTTCCTATCTTAGAAGCAATAGCAGACTGAGCAAAATAATGATATCTTCCAGCCAGAGGATTTGAGAATTGATGTGGATTGAATATATTTTTTTCAAGTGTTATAAATTGTGTGATATTTTCAATAATGAAAATCTTCACAAGAAACTAATTTTGTAGCATTAAAAAAAATCAACACTTGTGCAATGCTAAGTTTGTGAAGCTTCTGCTAATGAATTAAAATACACATGCTCAGTTTATTTTTTAATCAATCTCTTGCTGATAAAGGGAAAGAAAATAAGTCATAATAAAAATAAAAGATGTTGTTTTAAAAAATAAAAAAAGAACAGCCTCTTGTCCATCTAGGAAATAATAACTAGAATAAAATGGTAAGAAGTTCATTAAAAAATCAATTGCCTATGACACAAAGTTTTGGTATAAAGCCAACATCTTTCCCTCATTCATACTTTATAATACAAAGTACATTTTCATGGTTTTATTCTCCTATGAGTCTTAACACTGTTTCAAAAGCCGTAATGTCATTTGCCCAAACCACAAATTTACTTCATAATTTACCTAGCTACCCCACATAAAAATTAAAAATTCCAAAGTTACAAAATTCTGCAAAAGTAGAATTGTGGGTGTGTGCACTATGTAGATATTGTATATGTACATGCATTAATACACAAACACAGACTTAAGTTGTCTAACAAAACCACCACAATTGTAAGAACCGAGGAAGTTAAATACTAAAACTGTTCTATTTAATGACAAGTTAAGGTCAACATAAGCTTTGAAATTTTCTTGTCTGGAAACTAACTGTAGTTTTTTGTTTTTTGGTTTTTTTTCCTAAAAAAAAAAAAAAAAAAAAAAAACTTGGAACTTTCAAATTTCAACAGAACAATTATTAGTCATAGGAATATATCTCCTTGCAAACCTAATGATCTCAACCTGAGAAAAAGCAAAACATTATTTCAAAATAATTTTTCAAATAATATCTACCTAAATATTTAAACACTATAGTTACCCTGTGTGCCCTAAGACAGTGGCATGGTGTAGTGGTCCCCGCCCTTGGACATCTCTTTGGTTCACATTAGCACCATTCTGTAGGAGGAACTCACATGTCACCAAAGAGCCCTTAAAGAGAAAAAGAGGATAATGATGTTCAAATGCAAACAATAAGAAACAGTAATACATTTCTATTTAAAAACAGCATAATGCCAGGTGTGGCGGTGCAAGCCTGTAATCCCAGGTACTAAGGAGGTTGAGGCAGGAGGGTGACAAGTTCATCCTGGGCAACTTGACAAGACCCTCTCTCAAAATAGCATAAAAAGGGTCTGGGATGCAGCTCAGTGGTAGAGCACTTGCCTATCAAATGCTAAGCCCTGAGTTCAATCCCCAATAGCCATTCCCCACATCCACCCACAAGTAGTTTCATTTACTTTACTCAAATAGAACTTCCATTTTATTCTCCCATACAAAAAATACTGCCCAGCAAAAGCAAAGAAACGATAGTTTATATTATTTTCTTCCCCAAAATTACTTCTAATAGGGATTTATTAATAGTTGACTACTTTCATCATCAAAATTCTCTTCCATTAAGCAAAACAAAACAAAACAAAAACAACTAAAATAATCAATTTTGATGCCCAGGAATCACTATTTAGTACTCAAAGATTCATTTTCTTTTTGGAACATCAAGCTACTTTTTTTTTTTAATTTTGTTTAGTTGTTGATGGGCTTTTATTTTTATTTATTTATATGTGGCGCTAAGGAGCAAACCCAGTGCTTCTCACATGGTAGGGAAGTGCTCTACTACTGAGCCACAACCCCAGTCCACAAAGGTTTATTTTCTAAGCCATCTCTTAAAACAAAAAATTAAAAATACACACACACACACACACACACACAAAGCCAGTTCAAAAAGCCAAGTTCAAAACTTATACTATTTTATATTTTACTATCAATGAAAACCTCAATGTATAAATTCATACCCCTAATACAGCCTGAATAAGTGGTGTTGCTTTGTTTTCCTCTGAGTTAGCCCAATTCACATCGGCACCATGAGCCAAAGCCTCAGCCATTTTAGGAAGGTTTTTTTCATATGAAGCCCTGTAAAGCTGAAGTCCTGGATTAAGATGTTTAGAGTCGAGAAACACGGAAGAATCTTGCCTTTCTCCTTCTGAAAAGCAAACACAAATACATTATTAAAAATGAATTCTTGGCAAGAAAGGGATGAATTGTTTAACAGGTATAGTGTTTCAGATTTACAAAATGAAAAAAGAGTTTTGTGGATGAATGGTGGCACAAAGTGAATGCATTGGATTATAGATTTAAAAATTAGTTGACATGGCTAATTTTATGTTGTGTGCATTTTACCACAATTTTTTTTAAAAAGTGAACTCTTCCGCTTACCACAATGTGAAGATTGTGACATAAGAAACCATTAATCTATCACAATGAGCTTATGGCAGATTTTCACATAAATTCTTATTTCCTATAAACTAATCATTGAACATTCAACCTTCTCTCATAAAAACATCAACTGGTATGCTAGGCCTTTGTGGTCTTGTGGGAACCCAACAGATAGGCTAATTACTCTGTTAACCTTGGCTACATTTTCAATAAGCATGGATTCAGGAAGCAGCAAGAATCCCTAAAGAATTTCAACACTAGATAAATCTCATTTCATTTCTAGATAATCCAGTACCATCACAATTTGCACTATAATCAGTTCAAATTATATGAAGAATGCTTTCTCTCCTGAGAATTCCACAAGATCAAAATCACTGAACTCACAGAAGAGAGAATAAAGACAGAAGAAAGCATTGGTCAGAGGAAAAACTTAATGGAAAAGTCATTGCTGATCTCCTTCATCTGTTAAGAAAAGATAGCCAGGGGGAAAGATAAAGATACACAGTGCTTGTGGGTTAAAAATTTTCCTAAGCAATTGGGAAGGCATTCTGAGAATACATCATGAGACCTGGAAGACTATACCACTCAGAGAGAATTTTCAAATATGAAGAGAAATAGTTGCTTTCTTGTTTAACAGTTTTATTCCTCACTTACTACCTTCTAAATGACTAACCACTTCTTTATAAACTATTTAATCAAGAGGAGGCACTTACCAAATGCAAACTAGACCAATTAACACCAAATTCCATCAAAACTCACCAGGCTCATATAAACTACTGGCTGACACCATGGAGGGCAGAGATTCTCTCCCATCATCAGAGCTCTGCTGGATCCCACTGTCATTACTTTTGACTGTTTTAAAGAAAAATCAGCTAGTGATTAAAGTTCACATCATTTAGATAGCAAACTCCCGCAACCAACAAGGTTTTAAAATGAGCTCTTACATGTCAACATGAACTCAGTCACCACTAGTAAAATACATTTAGTACAATTTTAATCCATCTGAACACTTAGCTTATTGTAATATAAGTCAATCACAAAGCCTGAAAATAAACTTATTTTCAGAGTTTTGACATCTCATTCCCCATAAATTGTTAGGAGTAGTAAAGAGCTTAATTTATTGCATGACTAAAAGTAATGTGTAATTCTGAGACAATGGGTAACATCTAGAGAAATGGCCACACCGCACAATGACCACTGCACAGACTTGGAATGCTCCCAAGAGCAGTACTTACTACTACGCAGTTTTGAAGAAGTATCAAAGTAGGAGAAGAGTGAATCTAGCTCATCAGGACAGAACAGAGACTCCCGCCTGGCCTCGTCGCTATTTACAGCAACCACTGGGGACATGCAAGTTAGCAAAGCACAAAGCAGGCCATAAGAAGGGAAAAGGGCAGGAGAACACGTTACTGGGAAAAATTTAGGAGGAAAAAATAGGAAGGAAATCAGGTAGTTAATCAGATACTTAGGGCTTTTGGCATGATAGATTTATAATTCCCCTCTCCCCTTGTATTTTAAGCAGTTTTATTCCTTAGAATATACACATTACCTAGAAATGTGAATTATCTTGGCATTATTTAAATTTAACTGTTTGAAAGACATAGAAATCCAGTTTTTCCTTTGAATATGTAGGGAAAAAAACAGGTTTAAAGCATTTAAGATACCTACAATGGCTATTAATTCAGAGATCACTGACTTCACTCAAGAAAATTTTTATATTCACAACAAGGGAGTTGTAATACCTGAACTTTGGGTAGATGCTCTGACTTGGTCAGCAGGCCCAAGTTTAGAAATGCTCAGCCTCTTTTCTTCACAACCTTTGGAGACAATCTTTTTTTCCTGCTCAGGAGGTGATGATGATATAGAATATTTATCCACAAATTTCCTTTCCACATACTTTGCTCTGATATATGCCTCTTTCTCCTGTCTGGTATACATAAAAATGTCATGATCCCTTAGCATAGCTAAGTATTTTCAATGAATGAAATATTAATAAAAACTGAACCTGTGACATTATATAGCATGTTTCCCTTACAAATATTTAATGAACTGACTTCATAGTCAAATGAAAAATAATAACCTAACTGAAAAATGGAAAGTATTAATGTTACATTGTTTTATTTTCTTAATATTGTGTACATTTATTTCTATATATGCACTCATTCTATTTGCAGAATAAAAAAATTAGGAAAACTATAAAAATTTATAGAAATTTATTTCATTTTTACTGACATACTCAACTATCACTACTATTGATGGTCATAATTAAAAAAAATAACTACTTTAAAACAATTTAGCAATCCTAATTTATAGGGGAAAAAGATGTCACAATTTAAACTTCTGATTTATGATACAATCATAAAATAGCAAATCTATTCTACAGTTTTTCTTACACATGTCCTTCTAAAATGCTTTCGTCTTTGGTTGAAATAGGATATTTCAAGGCTTAAACTAACTCAGTCATGCTTTAGCGAATATTAAGATTCTGATTTAATTGACAGTGACTTAGAGAGCTAAAAATCTCAAAATAGGATTATGGCAAATAAAATTTTAATGCCAAAATAAAGAATCCTAATAACTAAAAACAGCATCAACAACAAAAATTATGTGCCTTAACACACTGACTTCTGGCTACTGTTTCAATAGTGTCCTTACATAGGATTGGAAGAGTAATTTCACACACACCAGAGCTGCCTTTTTTCATTTTTGATTTCTCAATGTCATAATACCATGAATTAAGTATGTGGTTAACAAACATTTGTGGAACCAAGTCAAACAATGTAAAAGTATTCATTGTAGGTAGTAGAATCTTGGTCATTGGAGATTTCTTTTCAAATGCCTGCCACTTACAAGACTTTGGACACTTTAATAGCTAAAAGCTTTTACATTTTTACATCAAAATTTCATTTTTTATACCTTTATTTTATTTATTTATTTTTATGTGGTACTGAGGATCGAAGCCAGGGCCTCACATCTGCTAGGGGAGTGCTCTAACACTGAAACACAACCCCAGCCCTCGATATTTCATTTTTAAGAGTCTTTCTCATCAAAGGACTACAGTTGATTATCTGCTTAATAAAATATACAATATACCCAAAACAGAGATAATCACATTTGAACTGTCACAATTACTTTTAACATTCTGTCTTGATGTTAAATGTGGACTATAGTGAAATAAAATCATAGCTATATTACTGATTTGGGGGGCAGAACATTGAGAGAACTGAAACAATACCTTTGTCCTGGTTGTGGTTTCTTTATTCCCATTTTTTCCACATTAGCTTCATAAACACGATTTATAACATCATTCCCCAATTCACACATAAGCTGTTTAGCAGGAAAACAAATGAGCAAACTATAAATTAAAAGTCCTTAAAGCAATCAATCATTCATTCAACAAAATTTACAGTTTAAAATAAACTGAGGAGTGAGAATATTATTACTTTGCCATTGTTCATCAGAATACCTTCCCTAGGACATTAGCACTCTTACTAAATTCTAACCACACACACATGCACACACACACATACCTGTCTATCTATCTATCTACATATCACAACTACTGTGTCTATATGTCCATAGTAGGGCAAGAAGTGTGACAACAAGCCTTACCTATACAGTTAGCTATAGTTAGCACTAGCCAGTCTTAGTACAATAATTTAAGATTAAGTATCTAGTCTTTTCAGTTTTCTCCTTCCACTTCCTAGAAACAGACAAATCCATCAAAGGTACAGCTTTATTGAAATTACTTTTGGACTTTTCCCTCTCCTTGGTTCTACTTCCAAATAATGATTGGTTCCTTGGTGTATGTTCCAAAATCTCTTAGATTTTCCTTTGTATCTGCACATTCACCTTTTTAATTCAGTTTGAGCTTTCCTCACCTCACTAACAAATCATATCTGTAGCCTCTCGGTGAATCATACTGCATCTAGTTGTGCCCGATTCCAGGCTTGATCATCAGGCCAAACATGCTTACTATGCCAAGATACAGATCATGCAAATGCTTTTCTGAAAAATCACATCTGGGTAAGAGAGATATTGCATACACATTAGGATGACACAATCAGTGATTGCAGAGAACAAAGTCAAGATGTTGGGACATGTGAGTTGGTGAAAGAGGGGAAAGGCCTGGGATGAGACAGGAAGAAGATAAAAATATGATCTAGACCCAAGAATGGGAGCAAAGCCTGATAAAGGCACCCTTAGCAAGGAAGCACTAAGCAGACAGGAAAAAAAAAAAAAACAAACAAACAACTTATCCTTTCTTTCCTGTTCCATACTCATGAGCCCTTTCAGAATCTTTTTTTCTTTTTTTTTTTTTTGGGGGGGGGGTGGGTACTGGGAATTGAACTCAGGGTCACTTGACCACTGAGCCACATCCCCAGCCCTATTTAGTATTTTATTTAGAGACAGAGTCTCACTGAATTGCTTAGTGCCTCACCATTGCTGAGGCTGGCTTTGAACTTGAGATCCTCCTGCCTTAGCCTCCCGAGCCGCTGGGATTACAGGCATGCACCACCATGCCGGGCCCCTTTCAGAATCTTTTTATTCTGTGATGTCCTTCTTCTGTCATGACATCCTCTCCTTGCTTCTATTACTTCTCCCTTTATCTCAATTTCTCTCCCCTAGGCTGGGAATGTGGCTTAGTGGTAGAGCATTTGCATGGCATAGGTAATGCCCTGGGTTCAATCCCTAGTACCACTAAAAAGGGAGAGAGGGAAACCAATTTCTCTCCTCTGACTCCATAAGCCCTGCTATCCTTTATAAAATTTAAATGTGCTTTTCCTTCTTTGAGCAATTATTACTTCTAGTTTGGGGGGATTTTGTGTTTGTCTGTTTTCAGTGCTGGGGACTGAACCCAGGGCTTTATGCATATTAGGCAAGCACTCCACCACAAAGCTACATCCCCAGTCTGTGATGGATGATTTTGTCATAGGAATGAAGAATAATAAAGAAGAGCACATTTTTCATTTTAAAAATAAAGGTACTATTATATGTTAGCCTTTAAAAAAAATCCATGCTAGGACTGTAAGATAATAAATATATCATTGGATGAGAACTAGCAGAATAGAAATCAACCCTATTTACAAAAATTTAACGTAAGGCAAAGGAGAAATAGCAAAATGATAAGAAAATATTGTTCAGTAACTGATGTTAAAAAAGTTGGGTAAGAATTTGGAACACATTTCATACTATCCACTAAAGAAATTCACACATACACTATAATTAAAGTTTATAAAATATTCTCATAAAAATAAGTTAATGTCACCAAATTCTATTTTTAAAAAAGAAATTATAGGAATTCTTATTTTTCAAAATTTTAGATTTACATGCTATTATTCTATCATTTTCTTTAGCAATTTTAAGAATGCAATAAAAGACAAAGACTATTTGGCAAGGTGATTACCATTTTGGGTACTTTTTCTTCCTTTTGCTTGTTATTTCAAAGCTTATCTTTAATATGTGTGTTTTGGGGTTACTTGTTTTGTTTGTTTGTGGTACTGGGGATCTAATGCAGGGGTACTCTACCACTAAGCTACATACATCCTGAGCCCTTTTTATTCATTGAGACACAGTCTAACTAATTTGTTGAGGATCTTGCTAAGTTGCTCAGGCTAGTCTCCAACTTAAAATCTTCCTGTCCCAGCCTCCTAAGTGGCTGGGATTATAGGCATGTGCCATTGCGCTTAGCACATATTATTTCAATTAAACAATAATTAAAGGCTTACAAGCCTTATCTAAGTTGCAACCAATTAATTGTTCCTTTCTCCTCTGTATATTTGCCTAGGAAAAGATTTCTATGTCTACCCTATAATTCTAGAATAAAGAAATAACAAATCAAATGTAATCTCAGTATTGTGGCATGCTGATCCCTTTAGTAATACCATCTGACTTTTATTTCTTCCCCAGGAATCCTTTTAATATTCTATTTACTGTCCTACTTACAGTCTTTTAAATTTAAATTTTACTTACCTGAATCTCTATAACTTGTCTCATTTGTCTAGGGGAAAATTTCATTTTCTTCTAGAAAGGCCAGACTCATATTTAACCCTCTAATACTAATAATGCTTTCATTTAAAAAATTGGACTAAATGGCAGGTGCTTGTATCTGTCATCTAACATCTTTATTTATATTTGCATTCTTTCCCCAAAAATGACTTTAAGTTTTGCAACAGTAGGGAACCCATCTTCTAATAGATTTCTATCCCTCCATTATGGATGGCACAATATCTGGTGAATTCATTGAAAAAAGAAGCCAATAATCAGACAGTAAAGTTTTAAACAACTCAAAATTGAAGTAGACTATTTTCTTTTTAATTTATATGTAATTACTCTAATTTGCTCAAAAAGTTTCAGCCATATTTTAACATATCAGATGGATGTGTTTCACACAATTTTTCTTAAATTTTCTAAAGTGATTCCACTGAATTTTTATCACACACACAAAGTAAATGTAGAAATAAGATTTCTGCCCCTCACCCTTCACTTTCTTGTCCTTTGAATTCGTAACAATTCATAGAATCTAACTAAATAGGGCTCTACTTTACAAACCAATGTATCATTTTTATTTACATGTTTACATAATAATTTCACAAAGTAAATTTCTTACTTTACATAACTGACAGATTTACCAGGTTTTCAATGGATAAACACATTAAAAACAAAATTCTGAGACAGAAAAAAATGTATACTCCAATCTTTAATCTAATTTTCAACAATAAGGTAATTTAGACATGGAAATTAAAGAGTATATACTATTAACTGCTAGGAATTTTGTAATCTTATCTGAAACCCAGTAGTAATCTAAATTACTGTGACATTTTCATAGATATGAACCTTAGAAACACAGACACAAAAAAGAATGTCTTGGTTTGATGACTCCTACACTAATAAATAGAATAATTCACTGTGGATTTTATCTATTATATTTTAATAGGAATTTGATTATAAAAGGTTAAAATTGTGGCACAGAAAAAAAGACCACATTATTAATATAAAACTATCAAATCTTGCATATTTATGAAATTTATTAAAGTATTTTTTGAAAAACCATAAAAATATAGAAACACTGGTTTTGTAAGAGTAAACTGACTAAAGATTTAAGAGTTCTACATACACTTAACAATTTCAAAAATTTAATATAAAAACACCAGATTTTCCAAAATAACCTCATATGTAGTGTGGTACAAGTTAGTTCATCCATAACAACAGTAACTCATAGATTTTTAAACCAAGATTCTGAAATCATCACTTTTATGTGAAAATAAATATTTTCACGCAAATATTCATTTTACCTTTAAAAGTTCAGGCTCCCAGGTATCTAAAGTTAAAGATCGTACTTTTGAAAAATGAACCCCAAGACTCCTATATTAGGGGAAAAAAAAAAAAGACTGCATTATTAATGTAAAACTATCAAGTCTCTACTCACATATTTATGAAAACACTTTTTCTCTTTTCAAATTGCAAAACCCCTAACTACAGTCTTCAAAACACATGCAAACAGGGATTGATCTCCTGGTTAGTAATGAATGGTGAACTAAAGTCCTCAAAAGCACTTCACACAAACCAGAATTTTATCTGCTTTACAGATAAATGGTACAAAAATACAAACCAGTAGTGAATTAGAGAAATGGAAAAAATCTTCTCACAAATGGAACACAATTAACTTTTTTTTTCTTTTTTTTTTTTTTTTTTACAATGTGTTCATCCAAAAGAAGTCTCTCACTCTGGACAGACAACCCACCGATGAATTCCAGAGCACTCGATACACAAGGTGATGCCCAAGTTGATGCTGGCCCACCGTGGATCTGCCAGACCACAGTCACAACAGCTGGCATTTCCAGGGATACACTGGACCCGCTGCAGTGCACTTTCTCCTTTCAATAATTTCTCTTTTGACTCATTTCCAGAATCTAGGCTTCCTGTTGATGGAGATGATTTCTTATCCAGCTTCTACAAGAATTAAGAATTATTTGTTTTTTAATTAAAAAGAAAAAAGATGGCACCATTATGTTGCATGCTATATGCTCCAAACAAAAGCTTCCAGTCCCTAAGTTTTAAAGGTCTATGCTGGATATAAGCCAAGCACTCTTCTAGGCCCCAGAGACTGAGGGGTGAAAAGATACACGCTCCTCTATCAATGGACTTTCAATCTAGTGAGGAAGAACAGAAACATTTAAAATCATATATGATGACGGACACAATAAACATATGTACAAGGCATGAAAGCAAAAAAAAAAGGGGAGCACTAAATTAACATGCAGGATACAAGACAAAGACTACTAAACAAAGACATAAGACTACTAAAACGCAAGATAAAATATTATGTTACGCCACACTCTTCCAAGGTATTCAATTAACTATAAGCAAATTAATCACTACAGTGAATAATTAGACAATGTATGTTCTTATATAGTTAAGTACTGAAGAACAGATTGATCACATAATTATGATTACAAAGTGACTCAAATTTAAAAAATGATTAAAATTTTCAAGAGATATTATGTGAACCAGATTGCTAAGCAAAAAGTTACCTTGTTAAGTGCACAGCAAAACTGACACCAAAATATAATAGTATTTAATAAGCAATTTTTTATATAAGTAAAAAAAATGACCATACACAAAGATGGGGTTCACAGGTTCTAAGCAATTAAAGATAGGGTCTATACAAAAGGTTTCCCAATTTAAAAACAGTCAACATTAACAAAACAATATGTTAGTACAGGAATGACAAAACCCCTAACTACAGCCTTCAAAACATGCAAATTTGGTTCTTATTTTGTCCTTCCTGAAACTCAGTTCCACAGCCATTTGGAAGGGCTGAACAAGGTAAGTGTAGAGATATTGTATTTCAGAGATGACTGAGCTGCATGAGTCAATCAGCATGGGACAATCTACGTAACAGCACAACTCTGGGTAAGCAGGATGTCTGCACAGGGAGGCAATCCTGCAAGGAAGATAGGACCTGACAAGGACGAGGATGGTATCTAAGGCATATCACCTTACTGAGGTGTCAGAACCTGAGAAGGGTAAAAGAGCATCAGAGCAGGGCTGAGAGGATACGACTAGGGGCAGATGGCAGCTGAGAGAATATTGCTTATGCACCAGGGGATTAACCAAATTGCATACATAGAAATAAACATAAATGGGAGCCATATTTCTCACTGCTAAGAAAAGCACTATTTATTTGGAAAAGGAGAAAGCTAGAACAAATCCTGTTATAGTAAATGAGAACTGGAGGTACCAATAGACACCCTAATGGTTTTCAATATAAATAAAGAAACCTAGATGTAAATGTAGGTATATGCACACAAATTCTTGGCTTCTAAATATCATTCTCCACCAAAAAGAACTATATCTTTGCAATCAATTTCAGGCTGGTGCAGAGAAAGTATGAGAAGATGAGCTTGGAGCATTTTGTCATGCTAGGAAGAAGTACTCAATGAGCAACAGAGACAAATCAAAAGAATACAGAAGACTCCAGGGCTGGGGTTGTGGCTCAGTGGTAGAGCACTCACCTAGCACATGCGAGGCCCTGGGTTAGATCCTCAGCACCACATATAAATAAGTAAATTAAATAAAGATATTGTGTCCAACTATAACCAAAAAATAAATATCTTTAAAAAGAATACAGAAGACTTCAAATTTGGGTCAATATGGGCAAAATAAGTAATGATAGTAATGAATAATATCACATTGAATAAAACAGGAATACATACTAAAATAATTAATTTTGACATAAATTAAAGCTGAATAAAGAAATATTTATAATCTTGAAGATCCTCCCCAACAAAATATGTATTATCTATCAAAGTTAAAAAGAATGATCTTAGACTAAAGAAGCCTAGTAAGATAATACCTTTATCAAAGTTAACCTTACCAGTAATGAGACAAATCAAAATCATGTGGGCTATGGCTGTAGCTCAGTGGCAGAGTGCTTGCCTAGCATGCATGAGGCAGCGAGTTCGATACTCAGCACCACATAAAAATAAACAAATAAAATAAAGGCATTCTGTCCCTCTATAATTTTTTTAAAATCATGTGCCATTTGAAAGGATGCAGTAAGAACATAGTAGTTTTTCACCCAGTACTAAAAAAGAGAGTGAGTGAGAGACGAGAGGGGGGAGGAGGAGGAGGAGGAGGAGGAGGAGGAGGAGGAGGAGGAGGAGGAAGAGGAGGAGGAGGAGGAGGAGGAGGAGAGAGGAAGTTCAAGTTAACACTGAAGAACTTTTCTTGTAGTATGGGGATTAAACCCAGGGGCACTTTACTGCATAGTTACATCCGCAAATCTGTTTGAGACAGAATCTCACTAAGTGGCTCAGGCTATACTTGGATTTGGACTCCTCCTGCCTCAGCCTTCCCAGTTCCTGGGATTATAGGCTTGTGCCACCATGCCTGGCACACAATATCATTTATATAATGTACCTGCTTAAGTTGCATAACCTCACAAGTAAAAATCAGATAAATCTAAATGAAACATTCTACAAAATAACTAGTCTGTAATTTTCAAAACTAAAAGGTCAAGAAGGTCAAATTGGGGTCTAGGGTTGTAGTTCAGTGAAGAGTGTTGCCTAGCATGTGTGAGGAACTGGGTTCAATTCTCAGCACCACATATAAATAAATAAAATAAAGTCCATCGACAACTAAAAAATATTAAAAAAAAAAAAAAAAGAAGGAGATCAAATTGGGCTGGGAATGAAGCTCAATGGTAGAATACTTGCCTACCATGTGTTACACCATGGGTTCAACACCAGTACTGAAAAAGAGAGTGAGTGAGAGACAGACAGAGAGAGGAGGAGGAGGAGGAAGGGGAAGGAGGAAGTTCAAGTTAACACTGAAGAACTTTTCCTGACTAAAGAAGGGGTCTAAGAGACATGACAACTAAAACTACTGAGTTTCTGCAGTGAATCTTTTCGCTATAAAGAACATTATTGGGACAACTGTTTAAATCTGAATGATATTTGAGAATTAAATAGAAATAACTTGGATAGCTATACCATGATTATGCAGGAGATATCTTGGGTTGTGAGAGTACTCATTAAAGTTATGAAGAGTGATGAGGCATCATGTTGGCAACCTATTCTCAAGGGATTGAGAAGGGAAAGGTTATCTGTAGTATACTAAGAACTTGTATGTAAATTTGAGATTATTTCAAAGTTTTAAAATATAGCTGGACGTAGAGGCACATTTCAGCAACTTAGGAGGCTAAGGCAGGAGGATCCCAAGTTAAAGGCCAGACTCAGCAACTTAGAAAGACCCTGTCTCAAAATAAAAAATAAAACAAGGGCTGGGGATGTAGCTCAGTGGTTGAGTGCCCCTTGGTTCAATAGCCAGTATCACTCAGATAGATAGATAGATAGATAGATAGATAGATAGATAGATAGATAGATAGATCTGTTTTATCAGAACATGTTTGATAATATTCTGAGAAGTCTGAAAAATATTATAAGCAATAATCATACAGGAAAAGGATGTCAGTCTTATAATGCAGAAATCTTGTTGGTTCCTTTCCTAATTTTTGTCTATATGCTAATGTTTTTTATACCACATTAGAGAAGCTAAGTACCGTAATACAGCATAACTGGGCAAGCCACCTCAAAGAATATAGCACTGAACGTGATGTCCACCCATGAAAGTTGAAGGGATGATTGTTTAAGAAACAGATCTCAGGGTCCCCTACCTAATCCTATGCCATTAATGGACTACCCTCTATACATAAACACAAATGACCAAAAGCTTAGTCATAGGAGTAAAACAGTCTCCGAACGGAGTTCACCTGAAAGGTGAAAGGTAGGGAACGAGTATATATTTACATACTGAATGTTGAGATACCCAATCCCTTACCTCTATGTGGGAGATCTGGGAATTTTCTATGGAAAACCATACCAGGCAAAAAGACTCCAAAGATCCTGACTGATTGTTGCTTAACAAACATTTTACACTTAGGACATGCTTTCAGTCAACAAAGTGCTATCTATCTATGTGTTCAGAAGTTCTAAGAAATATGCAGTCCTAACTTATCATCATGAGCAAATTACCACAGTCAAGGAAAACATCCAGCACAATGGTTCTCTATCTTGGCTGCTCATGGAAATCACCTTGGAAGCTTTTCAAAATATTGATGCCTGAGTCCCATTTCATTCAATTGTTCTGGGATATACCAAAGCACTGAAAAATTTTTAAAGCTCCCCAAGTTATTCACAGTATACAGTGAAGGCTAACAACTACACCTTTAACACTGCATCCATATCTAAAGAACAGGTCTATTTTTAAAAATATTCAGTGAACAAATAAGAACTCTTGGAAATTAAATATATGCTAGGAGCATGGAAATATTCAACAGGTTAATAAGATTAATTGAGATTTCCCAGAAAAATGAAACAAAGAAAGCACACACACACACACACACACATTACAACAAAATCACAATACCAGCCCATAAATTCCAGAGAGAGAAAACAGAGAAATTGAAGAGGAAAAACGCAAAATATCAGTAATAAGAAAAGCTCTACAAAAATAAAAACATAAAAAAATAAATAAAACAAAAAACTCTAATGGCAACACTGGGAACTTTTTTTATTTTTTCTCTTTTTTTTTCCTTTAACAAAACAAACAAAAATACAATACTATTATTTTCAACCTAAAAATTCCATACCCAAACTATCAAACAAACCTGAAGACAGAATAAAGACATTATCATGCATGCATAGAGTCACAAGTGCCTCACTTTCAGGAAATACTTGAGAAAGTATGAAGTTTTTCTTAAGTCAAAAAAGAGAAAGAAATGGAATATGGAAAAAAAAAAAAGAAAACAGAAATGGTTGTATAAGAAAATCCCAGACTAACAGGTATGCTGCAAGGCTTAAGGGGCATTCATCCAAACTAAAGAAGTATGATTCAGGTGACAGACTAAATCTCATACTGAGGGTGAACTTCACCAACAAGTCTCTGCTATATTCCCATCAGTTGTATCCTACCATGGCCAGGTGAACTAGGCTATTGAAATTCCTACTCTGTCTTAACGTTTTGATCAAGTGAATTCCCCCATTTCCTGCTCGGGAAGATATCTGCTTTGATCTACTCTTGGGAGTCACAAATTGATTATAATGAGCTCTGAAATATAACTTGGAGAGTACTCCCTCCCTTTCCCTAACCATATTTCTAACGGTTGTCTATCACCACCTCTATGCCTGTGTCCTGCCAGATGACCCAATGGCAATGAGTTTCATTTTTCAAGATTTACTCGTGCGTGGCCTTGCCCAAAAGAGTTTGCAGATTCTTTGGGAAACTGAAGCCAGAGTATAGCCCACAATTGTATATTCAGTTTATCTTTCCCAGAGAGCCTTCAACAAAGAGACAATGATTCATTTTCCTTTTATGCTTTTACTCAGTTTTAACCTTAAAAACCTTTCGTGATAATTATTATATTTTATTATTAATTAAAATTGTAAAATATTTTGGGGAAAAACCAAGATATTAGAATGCCTTATTCCAACCTGGAACATATATTCAAATATTAAAACAAAGATATATTCAAATATCAAAATAAAATGATACATAAAATCAAGAGAAATAAAAGATGGATGGTGGAAGGAGACCTTCATTGTTACACAAAATACATGAATGAAGATGTGAGAAAAAAAAAAGAATAGTGTTACCCTAGATTAATTAGGTAGAGAGAAGTGATGGGAGGGGAGGGAAGGGGTTGGGGAGATAGAAAGGATAGTAGAATGAAACAGACATTATTATTACTGTGTGTATATATGTGAATGCATGACCATTGTGATTCTGCAACCTGTATACTCAGAAAAATAAGATACTATATTCCATCTGATTGAAATGAATGATATGTCAGGGTCATTGTACTGTCATGTGTAACTAATTAAAACAAAAATAAATAAATAAAAGAGTGATAATGAAAAAAGAGAAATAAAAGACATTGAATCTAGATTTTTAAAAAATTAACTTAAATTACATAAAATCATCCTCCATAAAAAAGGATGTTATAATTATATAAAGGTGAAACTAAAATGTAAAGCTTTTAGACAAAATAACACTTCCACTAACCTCTGATTCATCACCCTTTTCTCTATAAGCAGTTGCAATACTGGTCTGAACAGCCTTAATCCATGCCTGGCGCAGCTTTTCAGAATCTGCCTGGAGCATACAACTCCTTAAAGAAAATAAAATATTGTTTTTTCAGACACTAAATTAACCAAAAAAAAGAAAAGGAAAAACAAAGGAAACATATAGCTTTACTTTTTGTCCACTTTGCTATTTAATAATTTAGCAAAAAATAATTTCTGTTGAAAGGTTTTATTTTATATATCTTTAGGACTAAGTACCTTTAAAAGAATTCAAAGTACCAATGAAATGAATTATCTCTTGAAAACAAATCATTCATCACTGCACATTAAGTCAAAGTAAATAAACTTCTAAATTTAGCATAATCTTAACACTCATTTTTTAAATTGGAGACAGTATGAAATGATGGTTGATATGTGATTGTATCTTATTATCATAACAGCTGAAAATTTTTTATTATGGGCACATAAATAATCTTTACAGATTTCAAGGAATATGAAATAAAGGGAGAGTTACATAAGTATCTGCTTGTAATATCTGTAATCATTAATTATTGACACTTATTTTTAAAACATTTTTTTTTTTTATTCAACACACTCATGAATCAAACACAAATTTCTCTATTCTGGGAAGTTTTTTAAGACCTACTACAGAAAATAAAAGCAATTTTGAAATCCTACAGAACAACTTACTTTGTTGGAGAGACTACCTCAAAGCAGAACCGTCTTTCTATGTCTTCACAATGCTTTACTGTGCAAAGCCTGAGATCTTCAACTACTACCGTGGGGTTATCCTACAATAAGGAAACAAAACTTACACATTTATCCACTTAGTTTTTAAATAATACTACCACCAACAATTAAAATATTAATTAGAGTAAATGATCTAATTGTAAAGATTTATATTTATCTTAACTGTTGATACAGATGAGGTTATTGACACAGATAAAAATAATGGAAGTAATTCTGTCCTATTAATTATTTTATCTGCCTCCCCAAATTATCATAGATTAAGTGAAGCAGTATATATAAAGAGATTGGTCCAATGCTTGACACTTAGTAGATACTTAATAAATGTTCTTCCATTTTTATTCATATCCATTATTCTCTTAGTCTCCACTCATATATTACTTTTATAGCTTTTTTTAAAGCTTCTTTCCCAAAAAAAGAGAAGCCTTTAACGACTCATGTTTTAGACAGCTCAAAGGTAAGACATTTATAAATCCTTCTTAAACTATCTAAGAAAATGAGAAATATTTTATCACTTCCTAGTGTTTAATAAATAACACAAAATCAAGTTTATCAGAGTAGAAGAAACCATGAACTAGCTAAAGAATTTATAAAATACTAACCTGTTACTATAGAACATAGCAAGTAAAATTTCACATGTCATCTCAAGACTACAGTATATATTTGAAATTTACAGTTTACAGAATAACATTCATAAAAACTAACTAGATGAAAATCAAGTCATTAATTAACAAATAGTTTCAATAATTGTTAATATTCTCAAATCTTAAGTAATCTCAGAATGCCTTTCTAAAAGTAAAAATACTTCACCCTTAAAACAAGGTTCAGAAAAACAAACGTACAAATACAGTGTTAATAGATTGAAGGGTTTCTATTTAAATTACTTGGAGCTTGCATTTTAATTAATGTTATTTTTAACCTTTCAAGATTATCACCATTGGCCCTAAGATGATATTTCTTAAAAGACACATTCTCGCCAGGCACAGCAGCACACACCAGTAATCCCAGTGGCTCAAGAGGCTGAGGCAGGAAGATCACAAATTCAATTCCAGTCTCAACAATTTATCAAGGACCTCAGCTACTTAGTGAGACCCTAATTTAAAATAAAACATAAAAAAGTGGGATGTAGCTCAGTGATTAAGCATCCCTAGGTTCAATCCCCAGTACCAAAAAAAAAAAAAAAGACACATTCTCCTTCAGTCTCAAAACAGTGCCATGCAATGGTGGTGGTATTTCCATCATACAACTAGACAAAGACATAAGGAAATGAAAGTAACAATTCTAGGTAGGGCACAGAAAAATCCATCTCAAAACTAGGAATTAAGAATTCAAAATTCAAAGTCACTCTGCTTTTAAGGGTCAAATGTTATAGTTTCCACACCAGAGTCTTCTTATACATGCCCAAACATAAAACTAATACACAATAATTTTATACATAGGTATTTATGGATTTCAGTGCTCACCAAAACAAACAGATAAAGAATTTTAAAAAATTGAGGACTACCACCCACCTTAAACTTTTTCTGGTAAACCAGTTGATTATTCTGTATTGAAAACCAGCGTCTAAATAAAGACAAAATAGATTAAGTTTTCATAAACAGGATTTACTTCTGGTTTTGGTAGAAATGAAATATTGGGAAAACACTGGAAATCAGTTTATAATAATTACATTTTGAGAAATGTACTATTTTGCTTAATATAAACCAATAGCAAAATGTAATAACTACTGAAGATACAAAACAAGCATCTTAAAACCACCGATTAGGAAAGTAAAATTGCTATATTTTGATTTATTTTATGTCATAAATTTATATTTTAACAAAAGCTGTTATTGTTTATAATATCACCAAATAATAAATGTTTTAAAGTATAAATTAACAGTTTTTTGAGGTTCTTCAAAAATAACTGAATCTTCCCCCCAAATAATTATATTCTTTATAATGTTAAAATGAACTTATAATACAAATATAAATATCCACTTATATACATTAAAACATTACAATAAATGCTGCTTTATTGTCAACCTTTCAGGAGATAATTCAGCAAGTGTTAATTTGATAAGCAAAACAGAAAACTAATCCTTTTCAACCAGTATCAAACAGGAGATAATCACCAATTAACATGGTCTTACTTTCATATAAAATACTTCAAAGCAAAACAATCAAAGTTATTACTACAAACAATTCACCCAGCTATTTATATGGTTCTGCTTATTATTGTAAATTATCAGGAAAGCAACTTAATTGCAATTTTCTTTAGAAGAAAAAGCTAAGCTTTGTATGCCATACTTACTAATTCTAATTTATTAAAACAACAAAAAGACCTAAAGACTTATTAAAAAAAAAAAAAATCACAGCCAAAAGCCATTCACAAAAGGAAGCAAAACTTCTCATTAAGCATGAAAGGTAAAACACTAATAAAACTTGAGTCATTATTTTAAAGTTAGTTTCATGTGAGATGATTTTTATCATAACATTAGTTATTAATCTATTAGCAGATAGAGATTCTACCTTTTCGTTGGTACTAATACAAAGCACTAGAAAATTATCTTTAGATATCTAGAATTTCTATTTTTAAAAATTTAGTTACTTCTCCAAAGCTGAGAAAATTATTAGGAGATGCTTTTTCATTTTTAGGACTTTTACTAGATAGATCATTAGGTTTTCTCACCATTTAAAAAGGTATAACCTTTTAATTATTAAAATACAGAGATTTGTTAAATAAGCATCTAGACAAAACAATGTGGGTTGCCTCTAGATCCAAATCATCAAGAGGCAGTCTAGAAAAGGAAGAACTTCTGGGTGCCTTGGTTTGGGGACAGATAGCTGGTTAGAAATGTTAAAAGAAACACCTACACACACAGAATGGTGCAGCCCTGCCACATGGGATGACATGCAATGGAAACCATCTCTAACACTGATGGAAGAGCTCTCTGCAAAAATCATTTGAAAGAGGTGGATAAGCTATATTTTTTTAAAAATCTTGTTTTATATCATAATGATTCTATTATATAATTTGATAAAAACTACATTGTTTCATTAACCAATGGAAAAACACTCATATAAACCATGTAAACTTTTCATGCTTCTGAGGTCTTCAAAAAATAAATGTCTTTTCACCTACTGCATCTTAGGATAACAAGATACTACATAAAAACTTGTATTTTTTTGTCAGAGGCCATTCCCAATTATTAATTCTATGGACCCTATATACTTTTGAATTCCTGTTTCCCTACCATTCATCTGCTTCTAGATGTCAGTCTCACATCATCAGGTTTTATACACTTAGTAAAGACAAAATAAATTCATCTGAATTTGACAGCTCCTAAGGATAAAAAGGCATGTAGTATATCCTAGGTTGAAAAAAAAATTAATTAAAAAGATCTGAACACCTGTGACACTATCTCACCTAAATGCCAATACAAATAAAAAGAGCTAACTATATACTCATCTAAAATTGACCAAACTTTTAATCAGATAAGTAAATTTTTTTTTATTATTCTGACAGAATAATCCTAGTTGCTTTTAATATTTCTCAGAAAAATAAATATGAGACAAACAGTTCATGATCTATGGAATATAAAAAAATACTTAATAATTTAAGAAACTTGAAAGTATTTCTAAAAATAATTAAATCCAGAAGAGAGAAACTTTGGAAAGCTTTGTGTTAACAATATTACACAGTATTCTACAAAGTTAAAAAACTGAGCACAAAGCCAAACAAAATATAAGACAGTGTGTAAAACAAAAAATTGTTCATTAAAATAAAACAATAAGATACCATTTATATCTGTCTCAAATTGAGTATAAATAGATCAAAATACTAAAATTTATTAAAATTTAAATATTAAATTTTACATATCAATAAAAGCTTCCAGATGACAAAATATGGGCAATAAATATATATACATATATATTTATATACACATATATAAATATATCTTTTACCATGTTTGATGCAGAACCACACTTGAAATAAAAACATGGATAAAAGTTAAACTTCTGAATCTGTAGAAGCTTTATTACTAAAAACTATACAAATGATGGGTTCATGTGCATATTCATATAGGTGGCAAACAAGTAAACAATTAATAAAATAAAAGCTTAAATACATATGCACCTTTATTTTAAATTCAATTTGTTTTTTCACAGAGAGAAAAATGTGGAAAACAAAGAAAACCTAGGGACTGACAATGTATTCTTTCAACATAATATGGTTGTTACCAAAGGGATTAATTCTAATTACTACACAGGTTTTTGAAGAGTTTGCTGGTTTATTTCATATTTACATATACATGATTGTGTGTATATACATATGACCTAAATGTATTCATATTACTCAATCTGCAACTTTGGGTAATTATAAACACATCAAATGTTCTTTTACAGATTAAAACAAATTGAGGATATGGGCAATTAAAAGGTATAATTCCATTTCTCAAATAAAATGCTTATATTTTCTTCCCAATTTAAAATATAGAGAGACTTTTTATCCATTGCAAGTAATCCTACTGAAATGCAGGTTAATGATGAGCTTTCTCGTGCCAAAGAAGAAACTGGAGTAAGATGAGGGCAAAGGGAAGGAAGCCATTTGGTACCTGATATGATCGGGCTTTTTCCTGTCATGTGAAAAAATGGGGCAGGATTAAAACATAAGGGAAAGGTGGTAAAAGAATGAAAACGCAAATGTGCAAAATAAGCAAAGGACTAGCATGATACGAAAATAAAGCAAGAATTAAAGAAACAAGCTTAAGCTTATAACCTAACAAAACAGTCAAAAGTATCTACTGCATTTTATTATGAACACAAGCATTTGTAGAATTAATTCCAACTCTTAGGAATCTGAAATGCTAATATTTTAGAAATATTCAAAAACTTGCTTCAAAGTATTACCTTACAAAAAGTTCTGGTAGGACTTAGTATACTTCTTTATTGTTATTTTCTGACTCTATGATCATGACTATAAAATACAGATAGTATTGCCACATCTTATTAAGATGCTCCTAAAAATTAAGGGAAATGATCACTGGAGATACTTCTAAATAAACCTAGGACAAACAGAAACTTTTCATCAGAAAAGTGGAGTCACTAATGAAGAATTTCAAAGATCACAGAGATTACTCAAAAAAGCCTCCCACCTGCCCAGACTCATTTTCATCAAATGACAGCAGAGATTCTCTAAGGCCACATATTAAGTATGATTCCTCTTTAATTGATGTATATTTATATTTATTTTAAAACAAAAAGGCAACAAAAACAAAACATATCTATACCAGCAGTGCATAGAACACTTTGCTTTTAAAAACTTTTATGTTCTTAGGTGTATTTTCTAGTTCAAAAGACTTCAGCTTCTTTATTAATCTTCACAAGTTATTACTAAATAAATTATGCTGACATTTACTTATTTTCCATGTTCTCATCTTTCCTATTTATTATGAAGAGCACAAGAAAAACATAAGCTCTAGCAGTCCACTAGGCTAAGCCTGAAGTGAATCTGCCATATTGAAAAAAGTAACTTGATGAGGAAAAATAATTGTAGCCGACTACACAAGTGTTCAGAAAATATATACAGTTGTCCCTTGGTATCTGTGGGGGATTAATTCCAGGATTCTCTCTCAGATATCAAATTCTGTGATGCTTGGGTTCTTTACATAACCTACACATCTCCCTAAGTACATATATAAAGACACACACACACACACACACACACACACACACACATATTTAATTTTCTTTTTATTTATTTTTTAGTTTTCGGTGGACACAACATCTTTATTTTTATGTGGTGCTGAGGATTGAACCCAGCATCCCACGCATGCCAGGAGAGCACATTACTGCTTGAGCCACATCCCCAGCCCTAATTTTCTTTTTAAGAGACAGAATCTCACTATATTGACCAGGCTGGTTTCAAACTCCTAGGCTAAGCAATCCTCCACCTCAGCCTCTTGAGTAGCTGGGATGACATCCATGCCACTTTGCCTGGCTCTCCCAGCCACCTCTATATAGCTTAAAATATATAATATAATGTAAACTCGATATAAATAGTTGTTAGACTGTATTGTTTAAGAAATAATGACAAGAAAAAAAAGTTTGTATATGTACAGTGTAAACTTAATTTTTTTCCCAAATACTCACATACTTGTGAGTGTGTGTGTGTGTGTGTGTGTGTGTATTTTGGTACTGGGGATTTAACACAAGAGTGCTCAGTTATCAAGCAACAGCCCTAGACCTTTTTTATAGTTTATTTAGAGACAGGGCCTCGCTAAATTGCTGAGACTGGCTTTGAACTTGTGATCCTCCTGTGGCAGCCTCCCAAGATCCTGGGATTACAGGCATGGACCCCCACACTCAGCTCCAAATAGTTTTGATCCACAGTTGGTTGAATTCATGGATGTGAATGCACAGATATGTAGGGCCAACTTTATTATGGAGGTGTTAATTTGGAGACATCAGAAATTAGAAATCTAAAAACCAATCATTTCAGCAATCCATATATGATCTAAAATTTTTAATTCCTATGCAATTTGAGTCACATCAAACAAAATAAATCAATGTTAAATTTCATATAATAGAATATTTCTTTCAAAAAAGATGTAATTTATGAAGGATAGATAAGGTTTTAAAACTCTTCAGGAATATCTACATACCATAATTCCATAAAATTATTATATGTTTGGTACCTTACAGAAACTAAAAAAAAAAATTCCCTGAAACTAATTAAACAATCCTTAAAAGAAAAAAAAAAAACAGAAGCAGTGAGTAGAAAAAGCTTTATATCTGAATAGCTAGATTCTTAGATATTTTTAAAATTAAGGCATAAATATCACAAGTACATAGTCTTACTCAGAGGCCAACAGAATATAATAAATCAAGCTGAATGGAGAACTAATTAGAGAAGGAGGGCAGACTCTAAGCCAAACATGAAAAAGGAAAAATTATTTGTAAGTATTTCCTGAGACTGGACTTTTTGGTAAATCTCATTGAAGAAATTTAGATACATTCTAAATTTGTAATATTAAAAAGCAGAAGGAAATTCTAAATAACATTTAATAGATTGTTCTTCTCTCTTCTTTCTTTCATAGAATTCCTTATTGTTATGATTTAGATATGATTTGTCCCCCCCGAGGTTTATGTGCTAGAAACCTGGTCCCCAGTATGGCAGTATTGAGGTGAGGTGGCACATGCCTGTAATCCCAAAGACTCAGAAGGCTGAGGAAGGAAGATCACAAATTTCCAGGCCAGCATTTGCAGCTTAGCAAGACCCTATCTCAAATTAAAAAATAAAAAAGGACTAGAGATGTAGCTCAGTGTTGTAAAACAAACCTGGGTTCAATCTCCAGTACCAAAAAATGAAAAAAAGTTTGGACCCAGTGTTAGGTAATGAGGTCACTGGGAAAAGAATTGATGCTGGTCTCTTGGACTAAGTCAATTCCCAGGAAAGTGTGCTGTTATAAAAGAGAAGACTGGATCATTCCTACTCTCTGGCTTCATCTCATCATAGGATCTGGGCACACTCCTGCCACTGTGATACCATCCATCATGAGCTCCTCACCAGAGGCCACCCAACTTTACAACATGAGCCTCCAAAACTGTGAGCTAAATAAATCTTTCTCAACCATTTCTTTAAAGGTCCATTTCTTTATTGAAAATTTGGATGTTAAATTATAATCTACAATTTTAATCAATAACTATCACTACATATAAATGGTACCTCCTCTAAAAAGCAGCCTAATTTCCAAAGGCAATGTCTTTTTCCACTTTGCAAATTGTAGGCAACATGTCTACAATTGAGGATTTAACAGTTACTATTCAATTTTATTTGTATTTTAATATCCATGTCAATTAATAAAATTCATTAAAAAAAATGAAAAAGTCCACACTTAAACCAAAATTAATTTTCTTCTACTGCCCTAAATGTACTTAATGTACTTGCAGTCTGAGACCATTTCTCACTGAAATATTCCATGGAAGTTCATTTCTTTTCTTAACATGATACTATATTTCTATGTATTTACTGTAATTTCATTTTGTCAAACTTTAAGGAGGTTGTTTTGAAGTCTGAAAGTTAAAATCAATTCTAACATTATATATTAAAATCATGTTGGTGGAATAATCTTTATTACTTAAAGATTCACCAATCACATTATTTTTTAAAATTTCCTAGTCTAGCTAAAGAAATTTTCCATTAAAAAATTCAAAATATTATTAATTTTTAGAGCTTGGAAAACATAATTTAAGTCTTCATTTTTACTTTTTAAAAATTAGAAACATTTCTAACCAAATAACTTTAGTTAGACCTCCTATATTCATGTATTATTTTAAAGAGGTTTACTATTGAATATAATAATTACTTTCCACTTTATATTTAATCTTATATAAAGAAAATTATTCCAAATAAAACCAAGTAACACTTAAGAATTGGGAAATATCAAATGCTCAATAAATCACTGACATCTGAAAAGAACTGATGAATTTTTTTTATATAACCTCAACCCTAAGAAATAAAAATAAGTGCACTAGGACAATAAAACATTACACGTTTCTATTTAAATTGGCAAAACTGTATACTAAATTATACTTAGCAAGGAAAGTCTATTTATTTTGTTAATGCCCATTTAAAAAAAAAAAAAAACAACCTTCTCTATCACTACATGAATTCATACCTTGTTTGAGTAATAAAATATGTACATTTCAACCAAGAATATAATAGTAAATCAATTATCCAGAATCTGAACACTAGTCAAAATTATTGCAAAATTTTCTGACTACATTTTGTTGGGAGTAAGGTGGCTATCCTTGAGTAAAAGATCACTGATATTCAGAAGAATGATTCTAAGTCAAGCAATCTTTTGCTGCTTTAAGGTCTAAAATTATTTTGCTTTGTTTTATATATATAGAAAAAAAGTAGTTTCTTATACATTCATTCTGGATTCAATGGGTACAATGCCCAGTACAAAAAATAATAATAATCAAATAAATAAAATTCCTCAGGCAACACTAAGTAAAAATTTATACAAACATCAGAGAGAGGAGGAACCAAAAGAAAAAAAGCTCTCACCTATTCTATTCATCAATTATATTCAATACATAATTTGTACTGCAATCTATTTTGTTAACAAATATTGGAGGTAGCGCACATTCAAAATTTATTGTGATGATCTATCTAGTCACTATAGACTAAGCATTATAAATACTCTCCTTGCTTCCTCCTTTAAGCCTTGCTTGAATTTTAGAATTAAGAATTAACCTTTTCATTTTTCACCTGCTTCTGCGAGCCTTCTTTTTTCAATGAACACTGAAACTATGAACTATGGAATTTACAGACTTAGAATTATAAAGAAAGAGTTGCCAGATCACAAAGAAAGTCAGAAAACTGCAAATATGGAAGGAGCAAGACAAGCATTTCAAGTATATTACCTGTTCCAAGTTTTGAAGGCGTTGCTGGCTCGTTTGAACAGGTATCCTTCCATAACAATGCCATTTGCAGCATCTACGTTGTATTCTAACTTGGAATCATCACTGGAGAAATCCTAGACGAAATAACACATAGAAGTTCATGTGATTTATGTTATACAGAAAAATAAATGTATCCTAGGGAAAAAGTTCAAAAGGGGGGAAAACTAGTTTCTATTAAAAACTGTTATGACAATATTGATAAGAAATGGGTAGGGGAAACTAAATGCTTAATAATTGAGGAATGCTTCAACATATTAAAATATTTCAATTCAATTGACTGATGTGTAATGATGGTGTAAAAACAGATGATTATATAGAATATACAGTAAAAGTGAAAACAATATAAATTGTATTGAAAGTAAAAATAATAAGCATACAAACAGACAAAGCCAACAACTAAATATTACACTGGATGTTATGTTTAAAACTGCTTTCATTTTATCCCAGTATTTTATAGTGATATGTGTTAATTTTTAAAAGAACTATGGATATATTTAAATGTGATTATTTAAATCTACCACTATTTTCTAAATATATTGCTACCATGGCAGTTTTTTTAATCTAATAGGAGTAATAACTCTACTATTTAGGAAGTTCAGAAATAAAAGAATTATGAAATTTTTTTCCTAAAATAATATTTGATTTTGCAAAGAAGAAAGACCTTAAGACCACAGTGTGAAGTGGGGATATTAAACTCACTTTTTTTTTTTTTTTGAAGACTATGGAATCACTCATAGTCTTGTCCAATCATTCTAATAACTCAAGTCTATATTTGAATGCAATTCAAACTTTCAGTTCTCCTCCAAAGATTCACACAGTTTGGAAATCAGAAATCCAATTATTTAAAATATTTCCTAGTAAATTCCGAAGTATTTTCGATAAAACTGCAAGATTGCTCCTCTCACATCAAATTTAAAACTCTAAAAATCAGTCTCAGAACTTTCAAAGTCACTCCTGCACCAATGATTAAAATTAGAATGCTACCTGTCTTGAGAAACATTTTGGCAGAGGCTGGATGACCACCTGCTGAGAGCTGAGATGTGAAGGACCTGCATTGGAGGGGAGGCAGAGTGAGAATCACCCAAGAGCCTTCTAAATCTGTCTACTAAGATGTGAAAAGGAATAGATTGAGTTCAGATTTTTAAAAATTAAATAAATCTGATATCTTTCAAACTTTAACCATAAAAAGACATAATATAAAATAATAAAATGAAGCAGAATCTATGTCATTACATTTTTTCCTTTTTCCTTGAAAAACAAATTAGAGAAACTTCAATTTCTTCATTTAAAATTTATTTTATGCTATAATTTACTTTTTACTTTTATTTTTACTTCATAATGCTGGGGATTGAACCCAGAGCTTTGCACATGCTAAGCAAGCACTCTACCACTGAGCCACATCCCCAATATTAGGCCATAATCTATTTAATTATGCAGATCAGATTTAAGATAGTAATAGAAATAATTGACTTATGTAACATTCTAAAGGTTTTATGTGTAACATCTGCAATTCTTTTTTTTAACAACCTTGATGCTACTTAAAACATAAAATAATGGAGCTGGAGGCACAGAGCCTTCTAGGCACAAAGCCCTGGGTTCAATCTCCAGCGATGCAAAAATATAAATAAAATAAAAGTCTTCCTTGGATGTGCGATGCATTACAAGTAAGTGCTTCTCTATTTCTCTATTTCTTGAGACAAACTGTCTTAATTACTACAATATCTATTAATATTTAAAGTACCTAAAATGTAATAGATTACAGTATTTAAAATGTAAAAGAATTCATAATGTAAGCAATTAATAATGTTGGGTGAAACATACACTGTTAGAATATCTCTGAATCTATTAGTGATCTGACAAGTAGGAAGGAATATCCAAAGGCAAAAGATTAAGTAAATGAAAACTGGAAGCCAAACAGGCAAACAGCAAGGAATTCCACTTTCACCTTGAGGGCATTTGCTATCAGGAGGACTGGCTCTTTCATGTGGAGTTCCAGGAATAGAAGGGAAGCTAAAAGATGCTTTTCTATTGAAATTGCAAGCAAGACAAGACAGACCATTAATACCATTTACCTTTGAGATTATGATAAAGATTCTAGCCAAAAGATGACAACAACAATAACAACAACAACAACAACCACACACACACACACACACAAGACTTGAAACAAAGTATCATAACTTGTGGATAAGATTTTGTACACATAACATTCAAAATAATCCAGGGATATATATTACTATTAAAAGGGAATAAGCAAGATTACTAGTTTGCAAAATCACTACAGAAAAATAAAGTTTAACCTAATATAATAACAGAAGGAAACAGTGAGAAAATAAATTTTTAGACAATAACAAAAAAAAAAAAAAAAGAGTTTCAGAACTGTTAGTGATCAAAGCAACACAACCTGACATTTCTTAATGACTTCTCTGAGGAAAAGAAATAAAATAATGTGGAAAAGTGGTCCAGGATTGTAATATTGAATTTATTATTTACCTAGCCATAATGTTGTAAGGACAAATGTGATAATCTTGTTCTGATCTTTCATTTCCTCATAATACATGAATACAAATAGTAAATTTGTGAACGAATAGGAAATACATCATAAAGAAACAACCCAAAGTCAGGTATGATGGCACATGCTTGTCATCTCAGCCACTCAGGAGCCTGCAGGAAGAGGATTGCAAGACTAAGGCCAGCATGAGCAACTTAGTGAGACCCTGTTTTGAAATAAAAAAATAAAAAGGACTCTGATTTGGCTCAGTGGTAGATCACCCCTGGGTTCATTCCCTATTACCCCCCCCCAAAAAAAAATTCACAAAAAAATATGCAATCTAAGTTTAGGAATAAATCTAACAAAATATACAAGAAAATCATAAAACCTTATGAAAGAAAGAAAGAAAAGAAAAAGGAAATAGAGAACACAACACAGTCATGAATTAAACAATATTATAAAACAAAGACATCATTTTTCTCTCAAATTGATTTGTAGTTCTAATGTAATCTCAATCAAAATGACAAAGGCTGTTTTTATGGAACCTGAAGAGGGGCTCCTGAAATTTACATGGAAATGCAAAACTAGTGTGATTCATTTTTAAAAAAGAAGTCAGAAAGTTACATATCAAGACTTACTATAAAGCTTATGTCTAAGACAGCATAGTATTGGCATAATTAAGACAAAAAGACTAACAGAATAGAGACCCTGAAAAACAGCTTCAGATATATGGAACATGAGGTATAACACAGGCTATACGACAAAACAGTGTGGAAGGAAACTTTTTAATAACTAATCTGTATCAACTAGCTACCAATGGAAGAGTAAAAGTACCTACCATTATATACAAAAACCCAATTACACATGGATTAGAAATCTAAGCATGAAAAACAAATCTATGCAGAAGAGAACTTTATGATCTTAGGATGGGAAGGATTTATTGAATAAGACACAAAAAGCACCAAACGTAAGACTGAAAAGCTATATGAAAATTCAAAACATATACATGCCTCAAAGGGGCATATATCCAGAACATACAAAGGATTTGAAGAACAAGCCACCTGGCAGAAAAAAAGAGAAAGACTAATAGATATTTCACAAATAGGCTCCCAAGTGACCAACAGATACAGGGTAAGGGAATTGAACTCACTAGTCACTAAAGATGTATAAATTAAAACCACAATGAGATGCCCTTATCTACCCACTAAATGGGTAAAAAATTAAAACCCTCTCAATACAATGAGATGGCAAGGAGCACAGTACACTCTCAGTACTGCCTGCCAAGAATGGTGCAACATTGAAAAACAGTTCAGCATTATCTACTAATGGTGAACATACATATTCTCTCTGATACAGTTTCACTTCTAGGTATAAATCCATCATAAATGTTACATATACTCTAAGATGCGAATATGAATGTCCTTGCCATCATTTTTTCTTCAACTCATCAAAGCAATTCTTTAAAAATTCTAAATAATTACATTAGATATACTGTCCCTTAAATTTTAGTTGACTAGATTCTTTTATTTTGTGTGTGTGTGTGTGTGTGTGTGTGTGTGTTTTGTTTTGTTTTTACCTGTAATGCAGCCTTGCGTCAGCATTTAAGGGCAGAAAAAAAGTAAGTATTTATAATTAGCAAAAATACCACTATTTTCTTTAAAGGAAAACAGTTGTATATGTTTTAAATTAAATTAATCTCAGATTTAAAACTTAACCAGTTTGGGTCCTTCAGTACAACACTGAATTATGTACTCAATTGGGAAAGATATTAAAAGATATAAACTATCCATTAAATAATTTAACTTAAGCAAATATTCTCATATTTCTACAAACACCATGATCTTTCATTTTAAATAAAAATGACTGGTCTCCGTATTTAACAATCTTTTAATGGGAATGTCATTAAAACAAGTTGTTCATCCAAATATGATATTGTACCTACTAAATATACAGAATTTTTATTCACCAAATTTAAAGTTACTCAACCAAAAGTTAATCTAACTTTAAAGAAAATATAAAGTCTCATCTGACAATAACTTGGAAGTAACTAATTTAAAGATAGTCTGGTAGAAAAAAAAATTCTTTATTTTTAAAATATGATTTCTCTTTAGCATAAATAATCCATCAAATTTTCCTTATTTTTATTACTGATTTTGTTTTTATTTTTTCCCATTAACATCTTTTATGTCAAATAAAGTCTACAGTATTCAAAATTCTAAATAAACCATAACAAAAGTTCATTTACTCATCAATACCAAAAGAACAGATTTAAAGAAGGGAGAAAGCATCTTGTCATATACTTGTATTATTGCATTCAATTTCTCTCTCCTTTTATTTTCAGATTGCTTCCCAAGAAACATTATTGACTATATAAAATATTATTCGGGTGAGTTTCAGGCATGTCACACCCAACTCCTTCAGCATGAAGGAATGAAAACTATTTAATACTGGAAATTTCATTTTTAAAAACATATTTTTCAAAAATACTAGTTTAGCTAGTATAGTAGGAAATTTAACAAGCTATGCAAGTTAAACATCATTCAGCACCACATGAGGTGGGAGTGCTGCCTAGGGTGACTGGCCCTGGGAAGTCCTTAACATTGAAACTGAGCACGCACACGCCACCCCACCCCACCCAACCCCTCTCTCTCTCTCTCACACACATACACACACACACACACACACACACACTTCATAGAAGGTTGGTGGTACCCAAAAAATGAATACTGTTTTAAATGCTAAGGGCCATCTTTTAATTTAGTTAAAGCTCTGAGAGATTAGGTTCTTAATAAACTGGTTTAAGAGCCTGACTTTAAAATATTTTGTTCTGAAATGATAATAAAACATATACCTTAATATCCGAAAACTATTTCACTTTTTGTGAAAAGAAAATTTAAGGAATTATGTAAGAATGCAAAGAATTTGTTCCAACACTAAGGTACCTTGCTTATGTCAATACTAATTAAACAACCAACTAAAATGGAAATTAATCTTCTTAAACTTTTCCTCTCAAGTACCTTTTGTTGAATGGTGGAATGTTTTTGCTCCATTTCTCTTTTCTCTTTTGCTGCATCCACAACAAGTCGATCTAACTGTAAAAGTAGAAAAAGAAAAATTGTAGGCTTAAAAAAAATCAAAGAAAAGAAGAGGTATAAGCATTTTTCCAAACCATATTCCAAGTTATTTTGTTGATAAACAGCAATATGTCACTCGATTTAAGTTTACCTAAAATGGTATTTTAGCTAAACTTTAAAGTAGAAGTTCCTATTTTTATGGTATTAAATCCTTTTCGAGAAGATCCATGTCTCAGCAAGGAAAAGAATTTTAAGTACAGTCAAGGTGCCAAGCACACATGATAGGAGGCCACCTCCTGGCCCCTGCAGTGATGTGTCAAGTCCTTGAATAAGAAAAATTACTCTAGTTTAAGTTGCTTGTGTATCCTCTCAAGTAAATTCTGCAAGTTATAATCAAAGTTATAAAAAAGAAACAATGGTAATTTTTCCCCAAACAGCAAAAAGTAGTGCAGCTAAATTAGTGCAGTCAGCTTCCACAAGTTCATAATAATGGATATGCCTCATCATTCAAGATGCTTCATGATTTCAAGTTGGCTTCCTACTAGTATAAGCAAATCTAAAAGGTATAGAACAATTAACTAAATAAAAGCAATGATGATGATGATGATACTAATAAATAATTAGTAATCCCTGAGTTTTAGATGGTATTATCTACCACTGAATTATTGAAAGAACATCCTAACCTGCCCCCTCCAAACAGGCCATATTATCCCCCACACACTATAGAAGTGTGACTTATCAGATGCTTTTCAAGTGCCTACAAATTTGTTTGATGTCTGTGAGGGTAACAAGGAGGAAATTAAGTAAAACTGAAATTAATAAAAGTCTAAAATATATAATGATTTCAATTTGTCAACTCCAATTTAATTCATAGTCTTTATAAATTATATTTAATGTACGGTAAGGTTACAGTCCAGTGTATGCTAAATTATAAGGAATGCCTAGAACCTAGGAAGGCCTTACCTTCCCCTAAGCCTGTACTGTCTATATCTTCCTACAACACCCTACCTCCCCACTATATGGTAAAAAAAGACCAGCTATTTCTAATATCTACTTTCTTCTTCTTCCTTAACAATAGAACCCCCAAATTATAGCATTCTGGTATTAAGGCTGTATTTCCCAGGTTTCCTTGTAGTGAATGTGAACTTATGACTAAGCACTGGCCATTGGGAGGTATATAAAGTAACAAGTACAAGGAAATGTCCTTAAGGAGGCAGAATGTGTCTTTCTTTCCCTTTTCCTCTGATGTTAACTGGTCTTTTGAGTATGATGGCTAGAGCTTGATCAGTCACTTTGAATCATGAGATAGAAGCAAACTATGTACATCTGCATCCTGAGAATCAAGTGACTGGCTATCATACCATGCATTTGACTTTTAGAAGACTTTGACTTCTTTTATAAGAATTGAAATTCTGTGTTAGCTACTGTATTCTCAATTTTCTATCCCTTACAAACAAACCTTATCCCAACTGATATACACAGGGCACATAGTTAACAGTCTGGTGACTTGTTCTTTCTTTCGAAAGCTAATATAGATGATGTGTGATTCACAGCACAAGCCATACTTGCCATACTGCCCCCACACCATCTCCACATGCATCCCACACACATACGTCGGTTAGTGATTGCAATTCTCATTTCACTCTGTTTCTCCAATTTCCCTAGACTCTGTTTTTCATCCTTAATCACCTCCCTTCAAAAAGTATACTGAACCATCTTGGGAAAGAATACCACCTAAAAAGTTCAAGAAAACTCATCAATCAATAAATAACAATGTCCCTAGGGATTGGAGGTGTGGTGCAGTACTAGAGCACTTGCCTAGCTCACTGTAGGCCTTGGGGCTCATCCCCAGTATCAACAACAAAAAGGGGGGGGGGGACTTCAAACATATTTAACATAAAATTCTGATCAAAAGTAAAAAATAATTTCTATACATATAATATTCTTATGCACACACTTAATTCTAAAACACACAGATACCCAAATATGTCTGTGTGCAATGAAAATTTTTCAGCTGCATAATTCTAAGGTTCTAAAATGTCACTATTCAAATACCAAAATATAACTTTTAGAAAAATGAAAGCAAGTTAGAACAATAAAACTCAATTATTCAAATATAAGAAATTTAAAAATAAATCCAGCTATGTGTCCTTAAAAATAGACACATTATTATTACATTCTCCTTTTTAGTACCCTCAGATAAAATCTATAGCATAAGATTATTTTTACCTTTAATTTCTTCCTTTGTTACACATTTAACCCATGCATATAGATTCTGCTATAGAATCAAACTTCTTTATTAAGTAAATGAAACATCAAATCACCCAATATGCTTTCAAATACAAATATCAAGGGCTGGGGATGTGGCTCAGTGGTAGGACTGCTTACCTAGCATGCATAAGGCCAAGAGTTCAATCCCCAGCACCCCCCCCCAAAAAAAAAAATCATATATAATACAGAATCAAAAAATACAGTTCAACATTACCTGTGCTCCAAGATCTTTCATGTAGGGCCCAAGTTCACTAAATAGATCATATCCTTGATGAAAGAAGGCCAAATGGGCATACATAAAGGATAACATCTAAAAGGGAAAAAAAATGCTATTTTAAAATCAATTCCTTAGGTAAGTATTTGGGAATTTAAAATTTATTGTACAAGAACTCAAAATGTAAAGCCTACTTAAAACTAAGTCATTTTTCTTAAGAGTATTTATTAAATATTTGCAAATACTATCAGAAAAAATTATATATTTAAAATTTTTTCCAATGGTTTAAAATTTTAACAATGCACAAACTTTTAGTTGTTTATGTTTTATCTAGATGATCAAATTTTGTTTATTTTATTCAAATAATCAAATTTTCAATAACTTCACTATCTTTCTAGGAACAATAGAAAATATCAATATGTTCCTTGAAATAAATTCACTGGTAAACCTTAAGCAAATAAGACACAAAAAGATAAGAAGCGGAAATACATAAAGCTCTTAAAGCAATCACAAACACTTTACAACCTACAAGATCATTAATAACAATGTAAAGTAGGGAATGCTCAGTTTGTTTCTCAAGATATCAAAAATAAACTGAGTCAACATACTTTGCCAACATTGAGATTTCTTTATATTCATTCCACAAGTTCAAAACTGACATTAAGGGCTGAGCTATTTTTCCAAGTTTTTCTATATTTTACTTAGCCAAAAGAAAAATTATCCGTATTTTTATTAGGTTTTACATGGAAAGGAATTATATAATTAAATGTGAAATATTAAGAAAATATTCAAACATCCATGTTATTTTTAGCAATCTCAAGCATCTGTTTAATTCTCTGAAATCTAAAGTAGGTCACAAGGTCCTTAATTCTCAAGAATCCTCCACAGAAAATTCTGTTTCTAGGAGAAAAAAACAATTATACAAAAGTTGAAAACACAAAACTCACAAAAAGAGAAGCATTCTAGAATTAGAACATGGTAATGATTATATAACTTTATGAATATAATTTTAAAAACACACAAAGTTCTTTTTAAAAAGAGGGTAGGCAGAAATTAATAGCTAGGACTACAAAAAATGTAAAATCTGCCTATACATCAAAACTCATATTAAAAGATAAATGACAAACTAGGAAAAAAAACATATGACAATGAGTTAATAACTTTAATATGTAAGGGATGCTACAAATCAGTATGAAAAAATGAATACTCCAACAGAATAAGAGAAAAAGGACATATTACAGGTTATGCAAGTGGCCAAAACAGTGTGGTAAAAAAATGCTGAAACTCACTTGAATTAATGAAATGAAAAATTCAAAAATGAGATCACAATTTCTATCTACCAATGGTGGAAGAGAGAGGAAAACTGTAATGCATGGAGAAATGTTTATACACACACACTATTAGTGGAAATATTATATAACCTTTGAAATTAAACAATATTTTTAAAAAACCTTACCGAATGTTTAACCTCTGTAAGTAATCCCTTCTCTATGAATCTATCCTAAAGCAATAATCAAATTACTCATTAGAATGATCACTAAAATGCTATGCTTTAATGTCAAAAACAAGGAAATTACTTAAGTATTCACTCATAGGTAAAGGTAATCTGCAGGACACTCCATGTGAGCAAACTGAAACCTGCACAGCATATCAAGTCTTACCACCTGTTTTTGGATGGCCCGTAAGCTAAGAATGGCTTTTATGTTTTTAAATGATTGGAAGAAAATGAAAAGAACATAAGAAATTCATGATATGTAGAGATTATATGAAATTCAAATTTTTGTGTCCATAAGTAAATGGCTTATTGGAAACACAGCCAAAACTATTCATTTATATATGAACCTATATCTGCTCTCTCATTACAAGGGCACAGCAGAGTAACAGCAACAGAGATCACAAGGCCTGTAAAACCTATCATATTTACTACCTAGCTTTTACCCCCCTACCAAAAAAAAAAAAAGTTTGTTCATCCCTGGTACATTTAAGTGGCAGAATTCTACCTGATAAAAAAAAGCCATCATAAAATATTACTGTCCACCCATTATTGTCAATCTGGAAAACAAGCATAGTATAAACAGCATTTAAAAACAGTAAGTATAACCTAATTACCTGGTAAGACACAACATGAATATAACAAAGTTTAGGGAAAATCTAGGTGAGAACATTTAAGTACGTAGTTTTGGGAGAGAAAAAAAAAATTATCTGCTAACAAATTCAAAGAGAACATATTATTTTGAAAGTTCTCAAAAAAGAGTGCCACACCACATATATACCATCCCGCTGCTCACTTTCTAGTTGGCTTTAAGATCAAAGTAGGAGGCAGGTATTAAGAAATATATATCATTGTCACTGGAGACAAAAAGGTTAAGAAAAAAAAAAAAAAAACAATGATCCTCAATTTTCATCCCATTCATTTTGTAACTGGACACCAAAGAACAAACCAAAAAACTGACACATCAACTTTAAGGAAAAAATTTTCCAAATGATACTACTCACTTAACTACTCAATCTCAAATATTTTAAAAGTCTATTTTATGTGTTGTACATATACTAAATGCTCAATGCAATTTGGTGAATAACAATTATACAAAAGATGAAAAGACAAAACTCAAGTTTGTTTATAGAGAAATATGCAAACACTTTGAAATAGTTATGCAGAATTTTTTTTTTCTTTTTTGGTACTAGGGATTGAACCTAGAGGCTATACCACTGACTAAATCCCCAGCCCTTTATTTTGAGACAGGGTCTTGCCAATTTGCTGAGGCTGGCCTCAAACTTGTGATCCTTCTGCCTTAGCCTTCCAAATTGCTGGGATTACAGGAATGCACTACCACACCTGGTTCAGCTGTGCAAAAAAATTCTAAGAATAGGAATGAGAGAAAATTCAAAATCTAAAAGCTATAGTATTTCATTTTTATACATTTCAAAGCAAATTCTGAAATATTCTCTTAGGCTTTTACACAAACCATTTGCAGTTATCCACAAAATAGCACTGAGCATTTGGTATATGTACAGTGCTGTATTAAAATAATAGAAAATAAATGCATTCACAGTGCATTAATAGATGAGGCACATAAACTACAACAAGAAGGAAACACAATAAATCATTTCTGTGATATAAGATATACAAATAAAGATCAAAAATAGCAATTATCAATCAACCAAGTATGTATATACTAGATGCTGCTATAAATACTTATATAATTTTACATTAAAATATTTAAAACATTATTTCAATTAATATCTTACTGATTTTAGGATTTCTGATCTCCTTTTTGATTGAAGGACATTAATCTAAAGGAAAATACACTTGGTTAATCACTTATGCATTATTTAAGAAACTAAACCATTTTTCAATATTGTAAAAACTGTTTATCCTGATGGTTTAATACTTTCCAAAATAAGACCAAAGCACAAGTTTTTAATACTTTGACCCTTTTTCTGAAAAAAGTTAAGATGAACATACCAACAAAATTCTCAACCATTTTTAACTCAATAAATACTTGGCTATTTAAATTATAATATCCAAGTGATAGAACTATTTTGATATTTGAATTCTGAGAATTCCATATTTTTCTGATCTTCCTTATCTATTTGCACATCAACATACAGCCTGATTGCAAATTCTTCTCACTGTATCACCATATCCTCTACTCTAGACAGTTGAAATAGTCTATGAACTAGTCTCTGCTTCCCCTCAACTCTGTACAATCCATGATCCACGTGGGCACCAGAACGATCTTTTGAAAATATAAATAAGATCCTATAGTTTAAAACCCTCTGTGTTCCTGCTCTGTCTGGCAAGGCCCAATGTGATGAGGCCCTAGCCTCCCTCTCCAACTACCTTTCAATTACTTTCCCCCTGCTGGGCTGCAGTTGCAGCCACAACCCAAGACCTCCCTCCCACCAGCTTGCCTCTGTACTAGCTGTTCTGTCTATACTCTGGATGTGCTGCTTTCATGGGCTTGAGGCTATCTCTTACTAGTCAGCCCTTAACTACCTCATCCTCACAAAGGTCTAATGCAGTCCCTCGCACACTGTCTAGCACATTGGCGTGATTAATTTTACCCGCAGCATTTAAAACTACCATACGTTTCCTTATTGTTTTTCCCCCCCAAGCTCAAGTATTAGTTTCATAAGATCAAGATCTTTGCCTTAATCTTAGCTTTAGTCCCCCAGGCAGCACACATTAAGCACTCAATTCCCTAAATAAAATAATGAACCTTAAATATTGTAATTAGACTAAACTTAACAAAAGACAAGTAACCAATAGATTTGCCTTTCATGGGATCTCTTGACTCTAGAATCATTTACTCTTTGCTAGTACTGTTAAAAATTTATTAATAATTATTATTAATATATCCTTCCTGCTGAATTCTCTATTTTATAATTTTAAAGCTTTGACTATAAGACAAAAAAAGAACAAGAAAAATCTATATAACCTTCTAAAAGCCTAAATAACCTCAGTGCTCTCTGCCACTGAGGTACATCCCAGTCCATTTTATTTTTTATTTTGAGATAGTATCTCACTAAGGCTGATCTCAAACTTGCAATCCTCCTGCCTCAGTCTCAGAAGTAGCTAGGATCACAGGTGCGTGCCACCATGCTCTGTTCTAAATAACTTCTTTTAATTAAGCATTAGTTTGTTTTGCATGTCTATTTCAAACCCCACTGCGTTTTGAGCTCGAATATTAATATTCAATAGAAATAGAAGCAGAGACTGAGAACAGCCTAAGATACAAACTTTGAAAACTATTAAAACTGTTAAAAGTACCTGTTTTATATCCCTTTTTTTTTCTATTTGGAAACAAAAAACTGCATTTGCATTCTTGAAAAAAAAAACAGTACATTCAAACAGAGACATTAAAGCATAATAAACTTTATACCTTTGAATATTTATTACTATTCTATAGTCACAAAATAAAGTGAAACAACAGTTCTCATCAGAAAAATCAAATATTTTTCTGAGGCGGAGAGAGGTTTGAACACCAAAGGAAATGGATTATTTATAAGGTGTAAGTTTGAAAGTATTGAATATTTTAGCTAAACTCCCCTCACATATAAAAATTCATAGCATTATTTTTTCAAAAAAAAGTTTATTACCTATCTATTTTTCAACCACTGGACTAGAAGTTAGGGATACAATCTTGGAATAGAAAAGATACATAAATACATCTTTACAGTAAATGTGCAAAGTGATCTACATGCAGTAGAGGCAAGAATGATTCATTCTTGGAGAAATCTGCATAACACTGACCATAGGGATGACAGACAATCAGTGACAGGGCAGGTAAAGTCAGTGTTAGGAAGGCCAATTGTACAAGAATACCTCAATGCTCCATACACAAAACAGCAAAGATAAGGAAAACCAATTTAAGAGGTAAATGAAGGGCGTTTCTAGAGTAGTTTGTAGCTAGATATGGTAATTTAGAATAAAAATAGCTAGTATGATTCTCCCATTTTGAACTTCTAAGAGGCTAAGTGAAAGGAAAAGACAGAAGCATTTTTATTTTTTTTTTATTTTTTTTTTTTAGAGAGAATTTTTTAATATTTATTTTTTAGCTTTCGGTGGATACAACATCTTTGTTTGTATGTGGTGCTAAGGATCGAACCCGGGCCGCACTCATGCCAGGCGAGCGCGCTACCACTTGAGCCACATCCCCAGCCCCAGTTTTAGACACACTGAGAATGGGGCACTTCTGTTAAAAAATAGATTTTTTTTCTTCCATGTACAGGTTGAGCAATTCAAGCAAGGGACATGATGAGGATGTCAAAGAATAAGAAAGTAAGAAGAGAGGGGACCAAAGATGAAACCCCAAAAAGAAGACTGAGAATTACAGATAAAGGAGAGAAGGCTGAGAAACAAATTGAAACTGAAAAGAAACAGGAGTTAGAGGAGAACCTAAAAGGGGTTTCAAGTAAATCAAGGCAAAAATATATTTCAAGAAGGAGAATATGGTCTACCATCTCAATGACACAGAAGAGCCAAGTAGGATAAAAATTAAAATATGCCTAAGGAATAAGACCTTTGTATGAGCCACTTCAGAGAAGTGTCAGAGGTGGCGGACTCACGCTGTGGCAGGAAAGGGTATGAAAATGAGGTAGGACACAGGATAGAGCAAACACAGATGACTCTATTCTACAGAAGCCTTTTACCCACAAACGGAGTATACTGCATTTTAAAAAATTTAACTTTCCACCTACTGAAAAGAAATTTAACTAGAAAAAAAAATCTTAAAGTTCAGTTTCTACTGTTCTGCCAAGTTTCTGTATACAGAAAAATATTTTTTAAGAAATACCCTATAATCATCTTGAAGTCAACAATCTGTAAAGGGAGATCTGGACGAGGGAATTCCCTAAGCTTTTAAGCTTTAAACTCCATGATGTAGCAATATAATGTACATGTGAAATAATATCTTATGCCTTCATTTTTCATGTGTCTTGAATTCCTTTGGAAACCTATCACATTCAAACTAGTTTTAATTATACATTGGACAAAAGATCACAAGGAATGTACCAAATATGGATCTCTAGGGTTTTTGTTTTTTGTTTTGTTTTGTTTTGTTGTTATGGTTTTTGTGGAGCTGGAAGTCAAAACCAGGGCCTCGAGCATGCTATGTTAGAGTTCTACCATAGAACTACAACCCTGGCCCCAGATCTCTAATTTTTAAAAGTAGTATCTAATGCAAAAATATGAGAACACTACTTCCAGAAATATTTTTCTTTTGGCAATACAGTGAGCCTTAATACTTGTAAGAATCTACTCTATAGAAATAATCAGAAATGTGGCAAAGGATGTATATATAAAAATGCTAACATAAAATTAATAAAAATTATATTTTCACTATTACCAGAAAAAAACTGCCAATATTATAAAAGTCTGATGGTCATCTATTAATTAAATTGACCTATCAACTCCATAGAATAAAATACATATAGCAATTTAAAATGCTTTTTAAAAACATTCCAAAATGGGGGAAGTTATAATTAAGTTAAAAGAAGAATTCGAAATCAAAGACATACATGTCCACACACATGGGTGTATGTGTACACACAAAAACATTTAGACAGGTGAATTTTTTTCACAAAAGATCATAATTTAATTCTAAACTCAGTGAAAAAGTGCTATTTTTTCTTTTTAGTCCAATCAAACACAACACCCTATTTAGTAAAACTGAAAACATATAATAATAAAATACATACCTGAAGCACATAGTCGAGGGCTATGTGTCGAAAACACTTTCTTGTGGCTGTCAGAATGTTTGTGGCTTCCTCAACTTCATGCTGCTTATTTCTTTGTACTTGGGCATTTTTTACTAATGCATTTTCTTTCTCTTCACTGACTTTTTCAAACTGCTTCTTGGCATCTTTGAATTTTCTAAGATCTCTAAAAAATAAAAACAATGAAGCTTTCATGAAACTTTCTTGATCAAAAACTTTTGACAAAATAGCTTTTGAATTTAATTCTTATGTTCCTCCATTTATTTATTTAATTGTGCACTGATATTCACTAGCTCTTCCAACTAAAATGTATATTATTTTCCACTAAGGGGTTGAGTATCCTTTTCAGAAGTATGCCTATGACCAAAAGAGTTTCAGATTTCATAGTTTCCTGTTTGGGGGAATATCTGTGTAGACTTTAGGCATCCCTAATTCAAAAATCCAAACCCCAGTATTCAAAAAGTTTCAGATTTCAGATTTGGAGTATTTCAGATTTTAGATTAGGAGTATTTCAGATTTTAGATTAGGTATGCTCTACCTGTATATATAAGTCCTGATACTGCAAGCTAACATTTTATTGTAGGAATCTATATAACTTGAGGTAAAAATGTATAATGTCAAATTAACATAACAAAAACAAAGTAAATTTTTTTCTGAAAATGAATTCATAGGCATGTGCCATGATTTTATCAGATAATTTTTAAACAGTAATACACATAGGGCACTTGTATAAAATGAAGATTCCAAAATCCTTTCCCAAATATTACAATTCATTAGTCTTTGTGATTAATCCTGGAAATTTGAAGAGCTTTTTTTTTGGTGGGGGGTCATTTTGTTTTTAGACACACCTTCATTTTACTGCTACAAGGAAGTATCAGGTCAAAGGACACCAATAAGTTTCCCACACACACACATACACACACACACACAAGTTTCTAAAAGAATTATGGCAGTGACAGCCAACCACATCCCTTTCAATATTAAATGTGAAATCCTTGATTTGATAATGATTTTAGGTACCTAATACAACATCTCTTCACTTTCACTATTAGGGAATTAGATAAAATAACTTGCAGATGAAAGGTTTTTTAATTTTAATAAAATACATCTAAAAGAGACTTTCTACACTCTGTAACAAAGATGACATAAATTTTTATGTATACATTCTATGAGGACAGTCTGAGTGTTAATCTATTATGAAGTAATTATAAAGATTGTCAGGGCTGGGGACATAGCTCAGTTAGTAGAATGGTTGCCTTGCATGCACAAGACTCTGGGTTCAATCCTTAGCACAACCAAAACAACAACAAAAACAAAAGAGTCTGAGATATCATCTCCAGGATAAACTCTAAAACTATTCTGTTACTATTCACATCTTATAATCTCTATAATTTATTCTGACTGCAGTATTATAATCTTATAAAAGTCTCAGGAATTAAAAGAGAAAAACTACATTATTAACATGGGAAGACTTTTTAAAATTTTTTGTTCAGTTTTATTTCACATACAAAATATGATAACTGACATAAAAGGTCACATAACACAAAGTATGTGCTTCCACAACTCATTCTCACATATTACATTAATCTTCTCTTCAAAGAAAAATACCACAGAACAAGAGATAACTTAGTTTTCTCATGGTTAACTAATAGTATTTTAACCACATTTGAGTTTTATATATATATACATAGGTATATACATAAACGTATTTTTATAGATAGATACATATAAAGGCCACTATATTTTTAATTTACACCCATAACAGCCTTAGCTATGTATTTTGAACACATACTCATGATATAAATGATTCACTGAAAGACATGCTATCTGATTCCCTTATATTATTAACTCAGGGGAAAAAATGCCATATTCATTACACAAAGCAAACAAAAACTCCAATATTTTCAGTATTTCATTGTCCATAATTTCGTTCAAGATACCAATCCCCAGATGTGATCATTAACTGGTTATTTTTCCTTCCTCTTCACTGCAACTAACTTACTCTTTAACAAAGTTCTGAAGTTGTGCTTTAATTGATCTCTGAGTTTGGTCAAACAGGATCTAAAAGATAAAATATAACATTGAGTAATTAGAAACATAAACAAAATAATTTTCTTGTAGTTTTATAAATATGACATCAATATTCCAAATCTAATAGCACCCATATTTCTTCTTATAAAGACAACAAAAGAAATAACCATTCAAAAAAGAAGTTCAAACCAATTTTAAGCTAATTTCATTTGTCTCAAAAATAAACATGCTTCTATTTACAAAGGAAAATAAAGCTTCTTTAACACTGAAATAGAATGCTCAAACAGTAAAGTGGCCTGTTTCCTTAATTCTAATGCAGGCTTTGGAAGACAACCAAAAAAAAAAAAGAATATAAATTCTACTCCTTCCACCGCTGACATTTCTTACACCAATAAATGGAAGCACCGCATAAGAAAACAACTCCAGAACTGCCTGATACCTTAATTAGAAATTACTTTTGGAAAGACTAGAGGGTGTAAATAAATTTTTTAAAAATTGTTCGATTATTTTCATGGGTGCTTTGTAATTATACATAATGAGATTCATTATGCCATATTTGTACGTGAACAATTTGATCAACCTAACATCTTCCCTTTCCCTCTCATCTTCCCTCCCCTGAAGCACTTGCTCTACTGATCTCCCTTTTATTATATTATTATATTATCATTTTAATTAATGTGTTATAATTATAAATGGAAAAGCTATATATATATATATATATATGTATATACACGCTGTGTGTATATGTGTGTATATATATGTATGTATAAACATACATATATATGTATATGGGTGGTATATTCAAACATGGACACAGCATAATTTGGTAGCTTTTACTACTCAGTACTTCCCCATACCCTCCCTTTTTCCCTCCCTCTCAAATCCCTTCCTCCACTCTTTTTGTCTTCCTACTATTTTTTTCAAACCCACTCCTCTTTTTTTATAAATTCCTTTTTTTTCCCCATCTCCACATGAGAGAAAGCATTTGACCCTTATCTTTCTGAGTCTGGCTTATTTCACTTAGCATAATGTTCACCAGTCCCATCCACTTATCAAATGATAAGGTGATATATTTTTAATTCAAGTAAAAACTATATAGTCCTTTGGGTTTAAAAAAAAAAATCACTAAGATTAGAGCCAAGAATAAAGTCTTATTCCTAAGGACAATATTTTGCCCCACTTAAATGATATTCCATACTTTTAACAGTGTTTGCTCTGATTATGGTAAATTTCATAGGACTTGTCACTGGAATTCCAAGTACTTCACAATTTACAGAATTATTTCATTCAGAGTTTGAAAAGGAGATCATGAACAGAAAAAAAATCAATATTTAAAACAACAAAAATTCCTGTGTCCTTCCATTAATTAAAAATAGCACCACAATTTCATTCTCTCCAAATTTGGACTTAGCACAGGGTTGTAAAATCTGTCATTTATTTCTAAGAAGAGAATGACTTTTTTCTGTTATATTAAACCCAAAGTAAGCAGAAGAGAGAAAATAGTTAAGTATCAAAGCAGAAATCACCTAGTTAAAAAAACAGAAAATCAATATAGAAAAGTCAGTGAAATCAAAAGTTGGTTCTTTGAAATTATAAAACTGATAAATTTCTAGCCAAAGTGTTCAGAAAGAAAGACAATGACAAATACTTTAAATACTAACAATAGAGGTTATTTCACAGCAGGTTGTATAGGTTTTAAAAGATAACCTATGGGGGTGGGGCACAACTATAAGTCTATTACTTGAACTGAAAATGGACACATCCTTCAAAGACAAAACTACCAAAGCTAATGCAAGAAGAAACTGATAACATTAGCAAAATTAAAGAAATAGATCTATAAAGTTATGCACTTACATAAAACATAGCAATCCCACTCCTAAAGAAATAAAAACTTAGGTTCACACAAACACCTGTACACAAAATTTATGGCAGTTTCATTCCAAAAAACAATGGAAGCAACCCAGTGTCCTTCAACTATGAAACAGAGAGACAAACTATGCTACATCCATACAATAGATTTCTACTCAGCAATAAAAAGGAACAACTATTAATGCATACAACATAGAGGAATCACAATGCATTTTGCTAGGTAAAATACAAACTATGATTTTTTTGTGTGGGGATGGGTCTCACTGAGTTGATTAGTGCCTCACTTTTCCTGAGGTTGGCTTTGAACTTAAAATCCTCCTATCTCAGCTTCCCAAGCCACTGGGATTAAAGATATGTGCCACTGTGCCTGGCCAAACTGTACGATTTATTTGGCATTTAAGAAAAGATAAAACTGTAGGAATCAGCAATTTCCAGTAGCAGGAGATTAGGGGAAGGGTTGACTGGTACAGGTGAGGAAGAGTAATGGGAGGACATTCTGAGGATTGATGGACTATTGTGCATCCAAATGTATGCATCTGTCAGAACCATAAAGTTATATATTGAAAGAAATCCATTTTTTTACATTTAAACTTAAAATAACTACAAAAGATGAAAAACATAAGCATAAATATTAACACAGAGATTTTCTAAGTCCATTAAGAAATAACATGAATAACTAGGTTGATTGAAAAGAAACATTAAGAAGTATAAACCAACAAAACACAATACCCATGCTTCTCAAGAAACACTAGCAACCTTCATGAAAATCAACCATCTAGTAGTAGGGCATAAACTAAGCATATGGCATTACATGGAACATACTGACTGACTTCAATGAAATTAAGTTATACTATAAATTAACATTAGGAAGAGTGAACTACTGACACAAGGCAATAATATAAATAAATCTCAAAAATTTTACTCCAAGCAAAAGAAGTCACTCATGAAGTTCTAGGAAAAACAAAACTACTTTATGGAAGAAAATCATATTAGCACTTACATTTGGGAGTGTAGGTTGGGACTCCCCAATAAGAGGCACGAGAGAAACTTGGATAATGGTAATTAGTTATATCTTAAAAAGGATGAGTTACAAAAGTGCATGCATTTGTCAAAATTCATTGAATGGTACACTTAAGATTTTTACATTTAATTTTATTTTAATTTGACTTCAAGAAATATAAAAATAAAACTCAAATAGAAATGCATTTAAGAGTATAGCACTGTCTATAAGTTATTTTGTACTACATCAGTTACAAGTAGATTGATGACTGCGTAGAAGGGTGAATAAATGGATAGATGTGTGATACAGCAAATAAAACATAATGTAAATGCTTATTGTAAAACTGATTCAACTTCTAATTAAAAAGTACCAGTGGGGTACTTTTTACACATACACCCAGCCAAAAAAAAAAAAAAAAAACCCTACACAAAAACAGCTTTACTGCTGAAAATTACCAAACATTAACTGAAGAGAATAAAAATGCTAACCAAACTCTTCAAAAAAATTGTATCAGAAAAAGTATTCTTATGAGGAACAAAACCAAAGACACTGTAAAAAAAGAAAACTACAAACCACTATCCCTCATGAACATAGATACCAAAATTCTTTATATGATAATGAAATTCAGCAATATATAAATAAGCATAATACATCATTAATTGGGATTTATCCCAAGAATGCAAAATTGATTTAACATTCAAAAACCTATCACTATAATTCAACAAATTAACAGACTTAAAAAGAAACTATATAACACAGAAAAACATAGCAAATATTCTAATATCCATTCCAGACTTTAAAAATTTAAAAAAAAGGAAAACTCTCAAGGATCTAGGAATGTAAAGGAACTTCCTTAATCCAAAAAAAAGTATGTATGGAAAAACCTCTAGCTAACATGGTATTTTATGGCAGAAAGGTATTTACATCCTAACATCTATCTAACATTGCACTAGAAATTCTAGTAATGTAATCAATCAAGAAATAAAAGCATAGAAGCTAGAAAGGAAGAATATGAAACTATCTTTATCCACAAATATGATCAATTATATGGAAAATACTATGGAATCTACCAAAATATACTAGTCAGTTTAGCAAAGTTGCAGAAACAAGTTAATGTACAAAAATGGGCTGAATCTCTGTATACTAGCAATGACCAATTGAAAATTGGACTTTAAAAAATACTGTTGATTTTTTTTTCAATCTTTTTGTAGGCTTTCTGTCCTGAATCTGGAGCCCAGGTGTCTGTGCTATGCAGAATCTGAAAACAAAGCACAGGGAGAATGCTGAGAACCCTGAGAGCCAGGAAATGGGTCTGGCGAAGCGTTGGAGGAAGAGACCACCAAGAGACTGACTCATGCAATTGCAGAAGGGGATTTATTTATTGGGGATCCATTCCAGCGTGCTGGGGCTCCATGCTCACTCAAGAAGGGAGAGCAGCCCAGAGCCCAGAGCAGGGGCTGAGCACTGCGATTTTGTCAGCTATGTCATGTAAAGCCCTGTCCTAAACTCACTTTGGAGGCTCTTTTACCACCTGTTCAAGACTGCAGAGCAGAGACCCACCTCACTCATTCTGTGCAATGAACTGACTTTTGTCAATCTTTGCCAACAATGGTTGGAAGAACAAGCATATTGGAGGGTCTTTCATATCCTATAATATGGTTGTCAGACCCTGTGGGTTAAAGGGTAGTTACTTACTATGTTAGAAACATCTTCCCTATGAGAAGGGCTTATCAATATTTTTGTTTTTTGTTTTGGAAGTCCCATGTACACAGAAGAGAAACATTTATGGTACAAACAAAGGAATGCCAGAAGCCATTAGATGTGAGAAAATACAAAAAAATAAAATCTTCTCTAAGAGCTTTTAGAGGTAAAAAGTTTATTTCTGTTTTCTGTAAGAAAACTAAAATTTCTCCTTGGCCTGAAAATATTTTGATGTTTTAAACTTGCTTGCAATTTCTACCTGTGTTTTGAATTCACCTATGCCTGGCTATCCCTTACCAGATAACAACCCTCTCTAAAACCTTACTGGTACCTCATAAATTCTGGCTCCCACTGACCAAATAACATTTCTCTCTAAATCTCAGTGGCAGCTTATAAAATCTAATGTCTGGAGCTGAATATATTCCCTACCTTGAAATGTTAGCCATATAGATCCTTAACC